AAATATCCAATTGTCAAGCTAAACGAAAATCTCTTACAAATATTCAGAAGATTTTTTTTTTTTGCAAAAAGGTTAGTAAACAATTCCAAATAATTAGAATGCCTTCAGTAATAAGGTCTTTATTATTTAGGCCATTAATTGGTATTTATGTATGTATGGCCACAATCAGGGTCAATTTGTGTAAACCCAACTTGAAATTGTGGTTGAGATAAAATCAATATTTATTCTCAAGCAACAGTTGGCTAAAAAGACAAGCAGTAGAACACACAGACACATTGTTGGGACGTTAAGTTCGGTCGGGCCATGAGGGTGACATTCAATGTACCTAAAATCGATCAGGACTTTGATATGAGCGGTAAATTGCTTTCAGGAGAAATGAAATAGCAAAATACTAACACTCATATTTGGGAATTGAGCCTGGACCCTAAACATACCAAAAATCAGGTCTGAGGGTTGAATAAACATGTTTGAAATCCTCGAAATTCTGATGATTGGAGGTACCGTTATATGGAGCCCATATCAAAATAGGGACCAATATTGATTAAAATAATGATTTAAAAATAATTTAAAACTTTTAACCGCTACATTTATCACATTAGTCAACATCGCCCCTTGAAATCATTTCAAATATAGATAAATTCAAAAAAAAAGTCTCCAACAACAAAGACAAAACTGATTTTTATCAATGATAGCATAAATTAGTTAAACTTTGACCACAAAATTAACCCTTTTTTTGCCCTTAACATATTTTACTTTTTCTTTCAATTCCATTTTGAACTATTGCCCCATTTGTTAACAAATTTCTTAGGAAAATGACTAGACATTTGTCCTGTCCTGTTCTATTCTATTTTTTAAAGAAAATACTGCAACAAGGGAATGACGAAATAGAAGTCATGACCTTAACACATTTTCATACCGATTTTTTTTTTTGGAATTCTAAATTGTGAACAGGCCATAAAGAAAGAGGCCAAAAGCCATGAAGAAAAAAGATTGCCTAATGTCAGGACATCAAAATCATCATCACTGTTGTCGTCATATAATCATTATCATTATTTTGTCCCGAATGTTGTATAAAAAATGGAGTTAGGAAAATTCATAGCTAGTAGTCTACTTCATGGAAAAACTAAAATTTTTCTTATTTTATAGAACAGCTAAAGGTATTTTATATAAAAATGAGCTGAAGGTCTTCTTCTTTCTCATAGAAGAGCTGAAGGTCTTCTTCATATTCATAGAAGAGCTAAAGGTCTTCTTCTTCATCTTCATAGAAGATCTGAAGGTCTTCATCTTCATAGAAGAGCTGAAGGTCTTCTTCTTCATAGAAGGGCTAAAAGTCTTCTTCTTCTTCATAGAAGAGCTGAAGGTCTTCTTCTTCATAGAAGAGCTGAAGGTCTTCTTCTTCATAGAAAAGCTGAATGTCTTTTTCTTCCTCATTGAAGAGCTGAAGGTCTTCTTCTTCACAGAAGAGCTGAATGTCTTCTTCATCTTCATAGAAGAGCTGAAGGTCTTCTTCTTCATCTTCATAGAAGAGCTGAAGGTCTTCTTCTTCATCTTCATAGAAGAGCTGAAGGTCTTCTTCATCTTCATAGAAGAGCTGAAGGACTTCTTCTTCATAGAAGAGCTGAAGGTCTTCTTCTTCATAGGAGAGCTGAAGGTATTCTTCTTCACAGAAGAGCTGAAGGTCTTCTTCTTCATCTTCATAGGAGAGCTGAAGGTCTTCTTCTTCATCTTCATAGAAGATCTGAAGGTCGTCTTCTTCATCTTCATAGAAGAGCTGAAGATCTTCTTCTTCATCTTCATAGAAGAGCTGAAGGTCTTCTTCTTCATCTTCATAGAAGAGCTGAAGGTCTTCTTCTTCATCTTCATAGAAGAGCTGAAGGTCTTCTTCTTCATAGAAGGGCTAAAAGTTTTCTTCTTCTTCATAGAAGAGCTGAAGGTCTTCTTCTTCTTCATAGAAGAGCTGAAGGTCTTTTTCTTCCTCATAGAAGAGCTGAAGGTCTTCTTCTTCGTAGAAGAGCTGAAGGTCTTTTTCTTCATAGAAGAGCTTAAGGTCTTTTTCTTCATAGAAGAACTGAAGGTCTTTTTCTTCATAAATGAGCTGAAGGTCTTTTTCTTCATAGAAGAGCTGAAGGTCTTCTTCTTTCTCATAGAAGAGCTGAAGGTCTTTTTCTTTCTCATAGAAGAGCTGAAGGTCTTCTTCTTTCTCATAGAAGAGCTGAAGGTCTTCTTCTTTCTCATAGAAGAGCTGAAGGTCTTCCTCTTCCTTATAGAAGAGCTGAAGGTCTTATTCTTCCTCATAGAAGAGCTGAAGGTCTTCTTCTTCCTCATAGAAGAGCTGAAGGTCTTCTTCTTCCTCATAGAAGAGCTGAAGGTCTTCTTCTTCATAGAAGAGCTGAAGGTCTTCTTCTTTTTCATAGATGAGCTGAAGGTCTTCTTCTTTCTCATAGAAGAGCTAAAAGTCTTCTTCTTTCTCATAGAAGAGCTGAAGGTCTTCTTCTTCATAGAAGAGCTGAAAGTCTTCTTCTTTCTCATAGAAGAGCTGAAGGCCTTCTTATTTCTCATAGAAGAGCTGAAGGTCTTCTTCTTTCTCATAGAAAAGCTGAAGGTCTTCCTCTTCTTCATAGAAGAGCTGAAGGTGTTCTTCTGCCTCATAGAAAAGTTGAAGGTCTTCTTCTTTCTCATAGAAGAGCTGAAGGTCTTCTTCTTTCTCATAGAATAGCTGAAGGTCTTCTTCTTTCTCATAGAAGAGCTGAAGGACTTCTTCTTTCTCATAGAAGAGCTGAAGGTCTTCTTCTTTCTCATAGAAGAGCTGAAGGTCTTCTTCTTTCTCATAGAAGAGCTGAAGGTCTTCTTCTTTCTCATAGAAGAGCTGAAGGTCTTCTTCTTTCTCATAGAAGAGCTGAAGGTCTTCCTCTTCCTTATAGAAGAGCTGAAGGTCTTCTTCTTTCTCATAGAAGAGCTGAAGGTCTTCTTCTTTCTCATAGAAGAGCTGAAGGTCTTCTTCTTTCTCATAGAAGAGCTGAAGGTCTTCTTCTTTCTCATAGAAGAGCTGAAGGTCTTCCTCTTCCTTATAGAAGAGCTGAAGGTCTTCTTCTTTCTCATAGAAGAGCTGAAGGTCTTCTTCTTTCTCATAGAAGAGCTGAAGGTCTTCTTCTTTCTCATAGAAGAGCTGAAGGTCTTCTTCTTTCTCATAGAAGAGCTGAAGGTCTTCTTCTTTCTCATAGAAGAGCTGAAGGTCTTCTTCTTTCTCATAGAAGAGCTGAAGGTCTTCTTCTTTCTCATAGAAGAGCTGAAGGTCTTCTTCTTTCTCATAGAATAGCTGAAGGTCTTCTTCTTTCTCATAGAAGAGCTGAAGGTCTTCTTCTTTCTCATAGAAGAGCTGAAGGTCTTCTTCTTTCTCATAGAAGAGCTGAAGGTCTTCTTCTTCATCTTCATAGAAGAGCTGAAGGTCTTCTTCTTCATCTTCATAGAAGAGCTGAAGGTCTTCTTCTTCATCTTCATAGAAGAGCTGAAGGTCTTCTTCTTCATCTTCATAGAAGAGCTGAAGGTCTTCTTCTTCATCTTCATAGAAGAGCTGAAGGTCTTCTTCTTTCTCATAGAAGAGCTGAAGGTCTTCTTCTTCATCTTCATAGAAGAGCTGAAGGTCTTCTTCTTCATCTTCATAGAAGAGCTGAAGGTCTTCTTCTTCATCTTCATAGAAGAGCTGAAGGTCTTCTTCTTCATCTTCATAGAAGAGCTGAAGGTCTTCTTCTTCATAGAAAGGCTAAAAGTCTTCTTCTTCATAGAAGAGCTGAAGGTCTTCTTCTTCATAGAAGAGCTGAATGTCTTTTTCTTCCTCATAGAAGAGCTAAAGGTCTCCTTCTTCGTAGAAGAGCTGAAGGCCTTTTTCTTCATAGAAGAGCTGAAGGTCTTTTTCTTCATAGAAGAGCTGAAGGTCTTTTTCTTCATAGAAGAGCTGAAGGTCTTTTTCTTCATAGAAGAGCTGAAGGTCTTCTGCTTTCTCATAGAAGAGCTGAAGGTCTTCTGCTTTCTCATAGAAGAGCTGAAGGTCTTCTTCTTTCTCATAGAAGAGCTGAAGGTCTTCTTCTTTCTCATAGAAGAGCTGAAGGTCTTCTTCTTTCTCATAGAAGAGCTGAAGGCCTTCTTCTTTCTCATAGAAGAGCTCAAGGTCTTCTTATTTCTCATAGAAGAGCTGAAGGTCTTCTTATTTCTCATAGAAGAGCTGAAGGTCTTTTTCTTCATAGAAGAGCTGAAGGTCTTCTTCTTTCTCATAGAAGAGCTGACGGTATTCTTCTTTCTCATAGAAGAGCTGAAGGTCTTAGTCTTCCTCAAAGGAACACTGAAGGTTTTCTTCTTCCTCAAAGGAGCACTGAAGGTTTTCTTCTTACTCATAGAAAAGCAAGAGGTTTTCTTCTTCATGGAAGAGCGGAAGGTCTTCTTCTTTCTCATAGAAGGTCTTCTTCATCTTAGAAGAGCAAAAGTTTCTTCTTCATAGAAGAGCTAAAGGTCTTCTTGTTCATAGTAGAGCTGAAGGTCTTCTCGTCATAAAATCACTGAAGGTCATCTTTTTCGTCATAGAGGAGTCGAAGTTAATCTTCATAGAAGGACTCTAGGTCTTCGGTAATACTTTGTTCAGATGAAGTCTTTAAGGGCTTTTATGAGAAGAGCTGAAGGTATTCTTCTTTTGTCATAAAAAAGCTGATGGCCTTCTTCCTGGCCGTTCACAGGAGGACTGAGGTTTTCCTTCGTAATAGACAAGCTGAAGGTTTTTTTCTTCAAAGAAGATTTGAAGGTCTTCTTCTTCAAAATAATTCCTCTTGGTGTACACATAACTTTTTGACTGATAAATTTTAATTTAGGTACCTGTTTTGATATAGGCTTCATATGAAGATCCCAGTTAGTTAGTTATTGTTATGATCTATAGTGTAAAAATTGACTTATCATAAAGTATTGACCCATTTGACTTATTATTTATTTTTTATTATTTTCTCTTAAATTTGCAGAAGACTAATCGGTAATCCGCTATTGCATTTAAGTCCTGAGACATTTGTGCAGAACAACTATCTGGACGCCTTGTAAGGTTTATTACTTATAACCTTCACATTGTTATTATTATTTTTTTATGTGCAATATTTTTTCCAGATCTTTGGCCTACACACCGCTGAAAATAGACGAAACTATTTTACACGCGCTCAATTTATCCTATCTAAATTTAAATGGTATAAAATTTGAAAGGATCGATTTCGAGACGATACAAAATATGTTGAATTTAAAATATATTATCTATGATCGGTTCTACTATTGTTCAATGACACCGAATATAAGACAATGTAAGGCGAACATAGATGGTGTATCGTCGTTCAAGGACCTGTTAAGTAAACCTGTGTTACGTTATTCGGCCTGGATTATGGCTGTAATTACGATAACCGGTAATATTATGGTGTTGTGGGGACGTTTTATATATCGTGATGAAAATAAAGCTGTCACAATGGTTATACGGAATTTGGCATTGGCCGATATACTAATGGGTTTCTATTTGCTGATAATTGGTATGCAGGATCATCGATATCGTAATGTTTATCATAGGTAAGGAGGGATAAGATTTCAAATCCGAATCTTAATAACAAAAAAATGTCTCATTGCAGGGTTGCTTTGGACTGGATATCATCATGGCACTGTGCTGCCGTGGGAGCTTTGGCTGTTAGCTCTTCCGAGGTTTCGATGTTAATATTGGCCTTTATGTCGTTGGAACGTTTCTTGCTTATTGCCGATCCATTTCGTGGCCATCACCACATAAGTGTGAAAAACATATTCTTTGCCCTGTTAAGTATTTGGGTAATGGGTGTTGGTATTGCAGTGGCTCCTCTCATACTATGGCACTCGAGTACAAAATTTTATGGCACCTATTCGGGTACATGTTTTCCATTGCATATCCAGGAACCGTATCCTCTGGGTTGGCAATATTCAGCTTTTATGTTTCTCGGTGTAAACCTTTTTCTACTCATAATGATTGGATTTTTATATACCGCGCTATTGGTTTCAATATGGCGTACGCGAAAGGCAACGCCTTTATCCTTGCTGGATTGTGAATTTGCTGTACGATTCTTTTTTATTGTATTAACGGATGCGCTGTGTTGGGCACCCATAATTATTGCCAAAATATGGGTATTTTTTAATTACAATATTTCTGGTAGGTTTTGAAAGCATAGAATAAGGAAGAACATATATTAAATTATTTGTTGTTTTTATTAGATGATATCTATGCCTGGTTAGTGGTATTCATTTTACCCCTCAATTCGGCTGTCAATCCCCTCCTGTATACGTTTACCACCCCAAAATATCGCAATCAGGTATTAATGCGCGGTTGGAAGAAAATAACTGCACGGCGTCGTCATCATCAGGATCCATCAAATGGTTTGGCCACAACAATTGCCACGGGTACGGGTTCGTCACAGCAACAGGGTAAGTATACATTTAAATGGAAGACAAATAATAAGAGCTAAGGTCTTCTTCATAGAAGAGCTGAACGTCTTCTTCATAGAAATGCTGAAAATCTTCTTCTTCATAGAGCTGAGGTCTTCTTCTTCATAGAAGAGCTGAAGGTCTTCTTCTTCATAGAAGAGCTGAAGGTCTTCTTCTTCGTAGAAGAGCTGAAGGTCTTCTTCTTCGTAGAAGAGCTGAAGGTCTTCTTCTTCTTCGTAGAAGAGCTGAAGGTCTTCTTCTTCTTCGTAGAAGAGCTGAAGGTTTTCTTCTTCTTCGTAGAAGAGCTGAAGGTCTTCTTCTTCTTCGTAGAAGAGCTGAAAGTCTTCTTCTTCTTCGTAGAAGAGCTGAAGGTCTTCTTCATAGAAGAGCTGAAGGTCTTCTTATTCATAGAAGAGCTGAAGGTCTTCTTCTTCATAGAAGAGCTGAAGGTCTTCTTCTTCATAGAAGAGCAGAAGGTCTTCTTCTTCATAGAAGATCCGAAGGACTTCTTCTTCATAGAAGAGGTCTGAAGGTCTTCTTCTTCATAGAAGAGCTGAAGGTCTTCTTCTTCATAGAAGAGCTGAAGGTCTTCTTCTTCATAGAAGAGCTGAAGGTCTTCTTCTTCATAGAAGAGCTGAAGGTCTTCTTCTTCATAGAAGAGCTGAAGGTCTTCTTCATAGAAGAGTTGAAGGTCTTCTTTTTCTTCACAGAAGAGCTGAAGGTCTTCTTCTTCATAGAAGAGCTGAAGGCATTTTTCTTCTTCTTCATAGAAGAGCTTAAGACCCTATCCTTATTCATAGAAAGGCTGAAGGTTTTTTTCTTCATAGAAGAGCTAAAGACCTTCTACTTCATAGAAGAACTATACGACTTCTTTTTCATAGAAAAGCTTAAGTTCTTCTTCATAGATGAACTGAATGTCCTCTTCTTCATAGAAGAAGAGCTGAAAGACTACTTCTTTGAAAGATACTGAAAATATTCTGCAAACAAGTTTGGAATGCTAAATTGCAACCACTTCAATTGGAACATCAGGGCCAGGGTCAAACATGGACCTATATTCATACTTTTCTACAATTATATGTCTCACCCTCCAAGATCCCGCAAAGCAACATTACAATGTATTTGTTAGAAAATTCTAAAGGGTCTCCTACGAGTATTTCAAGGTGTTGTAATCGAATGGACAAATATAATATAAACTTCAGCCTATGGTGAAGACTTCTATAATCAGAATCCTTCCAGAAATTCTTTTCTAGACAAAATTCAATATTACGGTCTTCTAAATGTGCTCTAACTATAAAAGTCATTTAAAAGACTTTCTAAAAGATTTTTTTAATATATAAATAAAGTCTAAGCGATGTTCATCTTTAGTCAGAATTATGTTTAAATAACCAAAGAAGTAAATAATGAATTTCCTTCGGAATTTGTAAATTACTAGTTCAATAGACTAATTGTTTTTAACAGAGTGAGTTAAAGCAAAGTGATATTTTATGAACTTTTATGGAGCTATTTCATAGACCTCCGTTGACAAAAAACCTTACCGAACTAAAAATTAATTAAATCTAGTTTAATTAAATTCCCGTGAAATCTTTTATTGAGCTATTTCATAGACCTTCGTTGACAAAAAACCTTACCGAACTAAAAATTAATTAAATCTAGTTTAATTAAATTACCCTGAAATCAGGTGTCCTTCTCCAAAAACTTTATTCCTATTAATACAGCTAACACATCATCTCTTTCTCTACTTCCAGAAGAATCAAGCGGCAAGGCAATTCCATTGGCATACAGTAAATAACTCTTCCAAAGACTTGGCGTCAAAACCGTACTCTCCACCCAGAGAGAAAAACAAATGCATTTATTGTTGTTGCCAAAGAAAATATTGTTTTTATGAAGTTTTTTTATAGCAAAATTAATGCTCAGTTTTTAAAATGTTTTTTTTTTTTATTTTTTTTTAACAAAATGTAACAAAAGTATTAAAACCTAGTCTAACTAAAATACATATGTATATGTAAATGTGTAAAACACTATTTTTAATAAATGTTGAATATGTACAAAAGAACATTAATAAACAAGGTTTATATTTCATCAAGGGAGCACCGATATTAGTCGCTATAAACGATATCAAAGAACAAGAACTTTTTTCCAGACTTTTGAATACCCTCCTTGTCTATTGCTGCGTAGAACTTTCAAAAACGAGACCAATAAATATGATCAATCTTTATTACTGTATTATTGAATAGAATTTAAAAATGGAAGTAACGTTTTCCATTTATTCCCCTGGTGTTGGGTTCCATATCTAACATCTGTTTTTGAAAATAGTTTAACAATCTTTTTTGTAGTTTCCATTTCAATCATCTCCTATTTTACCCACTGGGTGGAGTTTATCACGGCATTATTTCTCCCATTTCATTCAGAATAAGTCTATAGTGAGAAATGCGAACAAACAGCACTGTGAAATGTTGCTCAGATTTGGTTGTTTTTGGAATTTTCTCCCGAACAAAATAATCGTAACGTAAAAAATCAAAATTAACAATTTGAGTCAAATAGAAAAACAAATTATATTTCTTTTTTTTCAAAAGTAAATAAAAATACTTTATTTTCATGTAATGCTACACCTCCTCTTCTTCCTCTTCACCCTCTTCGATTGGAACTACCTTAACTAAATTGACTTTTGAACGAGCCACATGAAATTTGCGCATCTCTTCCAGTTGTTCTTTGGACAATTCAATGTTGTGTTTCCGTTTTACATGGACCTTTAATCTAAAAAAGAAACAAAAAATTATAACAACAAATATTCATTACTTTTAAATGCTGTAATAACTTACTTAGCCTTTGCCGGATAACCACGCTGACAATAAAGACACTCAAATGGCATTGCACTATGTGAAAATTCATGATTCCTTAGCGATGATGATGAAGTGAAAAATTTCCCACAATCTGGATAATTGCAACCAAATCGTACATTATTATGCCGAACATTTTTGTGAGTATTTAAATGACCCAGCTGGGCAAATTTCTTATCACATAAATTGCAGGCGTACGGAAAATCTCCGGTATGAAAACGCATATGCACCTCAAGGCTACGTCGTATGGCGAACACTTTCTGACACACATCGCACTGAAAGCCAGTCTTATTGTGAAATGTCTGGATATGACAGTCCATAGCTTGTTTGGTGGCATAAACGCGACCACAATATTTACATGGGAATTTGGGACGATCTTCTTCGTGACAACGTCGATGGGTAATCATGCGTGAAAAGTTGGGAAACACTTTGTGACAATAGTCACAGGCAAATTCACCAAAGTGGCGTTTACGTGATATCGATGTGACACCAACATCTTTGCCGTTATCAATCATTTCTATAAATTCAACACAAGCCTCATCATTACCACCTTGCTCCTCACCATCATCTTTTTCTATCAGTTCATAGGCAAATTCATCATTATTGTGATTGGCTGCATGGACTGCAGTTGCTTCATTTTTCATTTCTAGTGGTATATGTTCCTTGTTTGCAACCGCCACCACATTATCTTGCCATGAACGATTTGTATCATCTTCAAGATTTTGTGAATCTTGTGACGATTCATCGAAATCCCTATTTCCCATTGTTACGCTGGCATATTGTGAATTATGTTCTTGTTGTTCTGAAATATTATCCGCTTCAAAGAAATATTCCCCATTATCATCCATATGTAAGACGATTTGACTGGCGTTGGTTGTAGATAACTTAGATTGTTGGGTTTCTGTGGAAAAATAATTTTTAGATTATATTACATGGAAAGGAATTACATTTACTGACCACCAACCTTCATCTTCCAAAGCCTCAACAATGTTGAACTCATCACAATCCAAATGTTCCTCTTGAACATCTGTTGGGGATAGAGCTTGCACAATTTCATTACGAGTGATACCATCATTATTACCATGCTGATCAAGGCAATCATGATGACCACCATCAGTGTTATCCACAAAAATGTTTGTGTGTATCTCCTGGTTATCCTTTGATTTTGTTTCAAGCTCTCCATTTTCATATGTCTGAAGAAGTGATTCCATACTAATAGATGATTCAATTGTTGGTTCCTTAGTAGAATCTGTCTCAGCAGCTATCACATAATTTGACATGGACAATTCGGTATTTTTCTCCAATGTTTCTTCCACTGTTTCAAATTCTTCTATTTGTTTTGTAACTTCTTCCATTTTTTGTTGATATTGTTCCAAGGAACGTTTAGACTCTTCGACTTTCTTATAGAAATCATAGCTCATCTGTAATTCCAGGCCACACGATTTACACAAATTGTGTGGTAGATTATTACATTCATTTAAATTGATTTTTGTACATATTGTAAAACATTCGCCATATGTTAAGTTATCATCTTCATCATAGATCATCGACAGATCCAGGCATTGGTTTTCCTCCGGAATTTGTAGACATACCCGGCAAAGTTCTGACAAATCATCGGGCATATCAATCACATCATTTGCAGTCATCTTGGGCGGGTATAGTTAAATGAATCACTTAGAAAATTTATTGGAGTAACTGCATCACCACCACAACGACGATGTTATGGATCTTGGTTCCGTTCCGCTTAAAGATCTATAACATGCGAGACCGACAAATTCATCTATTTTGTTATCAGAGAGAGAGTACCACTGAATTCTATAAAATATGGGTCCAATGGAAGTCACGTATCCATATGGGACAGGCTTTGAATCTGATTTGTCCTCTGTGTCCAGTCCAGCCAGCAAGCCCCAGTTACTTTGGTTTTGGGTAGCTCACATTCAGAGTTTGTATACTGAAATGAAAGCAAACGAACCAAGGAGGATTCGCGTGTTTACGAATGAGGTAAAAACAAACGAGCGATACTGCAACAGCTGTTCTTTTTCTTTGCCGCCGTTAAATAATCATTCATCGGCTTGGCCTAAAAGGCTAAGCAAAATTATCGAGTTGCGCGTTAACGCTTCAAAAGTTAAACAATGTGAAACTCATGGTACAATAATAAAAGGTAGAGCAGCCTGAGGCGAATAACAAAAAAGCAACTACGCACGTGTGGCCTCTTCTGCCAAAAATAAAATAAATATACGCAACAAATGTTTGTGTTTACTTGACATTTTTTTCAACACAAAACTAAAAACGCGAAAAATGAATGAAAGGTTATGATTTCTTCCCAAAATCCAGTAGGGAATGCCATATAATGTTTGTTTTATCCATAACAAAGTAATTACTTCCATCCATAACAAAGTAATTATTTAACTCCGAAGCGCAACACACATCAAGCTCAAACGTTTGTCCCAATTTATATTAGGCAAGTTTTCTTGCAACAAGTCTTTGTTTGTAGGAGAGAGGGGCAAAGGGGAATAAAAATGTAAAAAATTTTCCAAAAAAAAAAACATATAAAACCCAATTGCCTTGTACAGACGCATGAAGCAAATTCAAACGGGAACGACAAGAATTTCCGCAAGTACCCTTGCCTAATATAAATAGGGACTTTAAGGTATCGTTTCCTCCTGCATTCATTCTGCTCATGTTCATGGTGGTTTGAAGTGCAATTTCCATTTCACCATTACAACGTCAACCTATCAATCCCTATTTACTTACGCCGGCAAAAATATCACTGCGCCTACGGTATATTCAAGGGTTGAAATGTAAATTGTAAACAAAACTTATGAAAAAAATAATTTAAATCGATAAAATAATTGTATAGCTTAAAATCCCATCAGAAAAACATGGGTTTAGATGAAAGGGAGACCCAAGTGCCAATGATGGTGGAAGAAACAACACAAGTGCCAATAATTGTGCAGCACAGTACAACAAAAATGCATGATATGGATTTGAAACAAGAGGATGAGGGTAGTTTTTATATTTTAATACCATTTACCGTGTTCTTGGTTATTATATTTTTGTCCCTAATGGTAGGTGGTGATTGTTCAAGTGGTCAATCAGTTATTTTTAAATGACATACATTTTCTTTTTGAAGGTATTTCTTATGGCCCGTAATCGTCGACGTATTGCACATGTCTATTGTAAAAAACGTCATGGAAAACGTTTTCCATACGACGATGATGATGCATATGATTCCCCCTTGGAGCAGGACCCCGAAGCGATGCATGAAGAAGAGGATGAGGTGGATAATGAAGATAATCCAACGAAAAGTTTATTGAGGGGAAAGCTACAAATCAATAATGTAAGTAAAGTTGGAAAAGAAAGTTCTAGGTATCTCCCTAAAAGGTTTTACAACTGGTCCCTAGGAATATCATATTGTCCTGTCCTATGAACCTTTCAAAATTGTCGGAATGTATATATTTCGTACCAAGATATATCTGTGGAGAGACTAGAATATCCAAATTTTCAAAGTCATGTTCATTGGTTGAAGTGATTTTTTCTTCTTCTCTATTTTCAGCGTTACGAAAACTACTTAAGTACTTCTCATCTTAACAAATCTTCGGAATTGTTTACCTAAATCGCACACATATTACAACAGGTTACAGCTCGCATTATTACAAAAGTATTATTTATTATAAACAATTCAACAGGCTAGTCAACTTAGAAAAATAAAGATTTTACTGCACATATTACAAATTACTTACGTACATTTCCAACTAATATCAATATTATAATAATTATTTTATTTAGACTAATATTTAAAAAAGAAAAAACAATGAACAAATATATATTTTAAATCTTCCAATTAAAAAGAACTGCCAATCTTAATACATATACATACTATATCATTATGATATACGTTTAACTTTGTCGGTCTGCCAATATTCTAGAAGTCAAGTCATAAAAACCAAAGAAAAATGCACCTCCCAATGTGATCCACATGACACGTGGTACAAAACCGGCAAATAAACTGCAATTCACAAAAAACATGAAGTAAAATGAAATATAAAGAAAAAAAATCGTCAAACATACCCAGCTATTCCCCTTTCACGATATATTGAAATCATTACTTTTGGTATGGATAATTTACGTATGGCACTATTTTGTTCAGCCAACATAATGCGTGTCTTAACCACATCCAATGGCGTTGTTAAACCAGCCGAAATACCTCCAGCTACAGCACCACATAAGGCCACACTTAATGGTGTTGATTGTATACCCGTTAGAGGTTCCCATTGAAGTTTAAAGAATTCCCACAATGGATATTGTATTAAACTAAAGGGTATTTCACGCATTATTGTCGAACCAAAACCACGATAAAGACCTTTACGCAAACCTTCAGTTTTATAGGCAGTCCAAAGAATTTGTAATGCACCATTTTGTGATTTCGTACCCAAGGCCTGTCGTCTTTGTTTGGCAATTTCGACGGGTACTCTTATTAAACAGGCTAACTATGAAGAAAATTAAAAAAATGACATTAATAGATTTATTTTTTGCTTCGAAAATAAAAGTCTACATACCACTTCTGCACTTGAAGCCGACACCATGTGTATATATGGTGAATTTTTGGTACACCCACTAAGATCACAAAAGAGTTTCTTAAAATTCTCATAGGCACAAAAGAATAGAGCAGCTGTGGGAGCACTACCGGCAGCAGCTGGTGCTAAGCCTTTATAAATTCCCTTAAAACCCCCAGCTCGCCAAAAACCTCTGCCACTTTGCAGACGAGTTTTTACTGTATCAATTGGAAATAGGGCAATATCCACAACCATACCAGCAACACCACCGGCCTAAAAGGATACAAAAGAAATCAAATGAAATTTCCTCTTATCTTGACCCTTGACAATCTTCTTAAAATATCCAAAATTTAAAAGGGATTTTAATAAATATAGGCCGTAGACTGTTGATTGTAAGTAAATTTTTGAATAATATCCAAGCTTCTGATGGTCCAAGACAAAAGTTTGTATAAAACATCCAAACTTTTTGAAAATCCTCGGTTTTAATTGTTTATAAAAAAATCTGGATAATCAACGCTTTAGACCCATCATCAACGCTTTAAATTTATTTAATAGTTCTCGAGAAAAAAGGTTTTCCATGGTTCTTGACGTTTTACTGGCAATAAATTATTTATATTGGTCCTTATTTTGGACTTTTATTACCGCCTGTGCTGAATTCATTATCGTATACAAAATTTACCATTCTACCGCCTAAACTTTGACCTTAATCGAAATTATTTAATTATATATTCATTTTCACTTGTTTACTTCATTCAACTTACTACCAATGAATTTATAAAGTTATGTCTGGTTGCCTCATCTGGGGTCATGGTCGCAGCGATATCAGGGTTAATAACACCTGAACCAATTTCGGCAGTCTCCATTTAATTTAACTTCAAAAATACTTATTAAACAAATAATCGTTTTGCTACAATAAACATTCGTTTATGTAGCAATTGAAGATAAACAAAAAACGAGTTTTAATTAATAATTTATAATTATCAAAATCACTGAATTACAAAACCATGTTCTCGGTCTGTTGTTTTGGTTTTGTTGTTGCTATTCGTAACGACCTAATAGGGATATATAAGTCGACTTTTGGCTGATAAGACAAACAGATGATTGAAAGCAGGGCACATGAAAATATCAGTGTTGTAAAGCGATTTAATAAAACTTTATATACCAACATTTGATTTGAATAAAATTCAGAAATCTAATAAAATATATAATCCTAACAGCATCATTATTATACATATGGACCAAATCACACCTTTTGAGCAGAGTATATATTGATAGATACCACAATTAGCCCACTTATTCATTTATTTGTAATGAGGTTAGACTATTTTTTTAAACGTGTTGGTGCGCCTTACCCCTTACGCATTTGTTTAGCAGAGTGTGGGCTGTTTAGTTTGCTGGTGATTTTATTTGCATAGAAAATTTGCGCAATTCTTCCAGATGGCGGCTAATTCCAAAAAAGCCATAGTAAGTCCATTAAATCCCACTAAGAATTCATCCGAATATTAATTATTTGCTTTCGTAGAACAAACTAAGATCCCTGGCATTGGTGTGCACTGGCGGCGGTTTAGTATTTTCCGGTTTATGTATTAATCAAGGCAATGAAGGCTATTATAAGAATGTGTTGATGCCAGCCACACGCCTTCTGCCACCGGAAACCAGTCACAAATTGGCCGTGTGGTGTTGTAAATATAAAATATTTGGAAAACCTGCCAAGCAGGATGATGCTATTTTGGTATGTTCTAAATACTTGGAAAAGAAGGAAATGTGTGTTGATTTTGTTTACTTTCAGGCCACAAATTTCTTTGGTCACAATGTGGAAAACCCCTTGGGCATTGCTGCTGGTTTTGATAAGCACGGCGAAGCCGTTGAGGGTTTAAAGCAATTGGGATTTGGTTTTGTTGAAATTGGATCGGTGACACCAGAGCCCCAGCCCGGTAATCCCCAACCAAGAGTTTTTCGTTTGGTCAACGATGAGGCCATCATAAATCGTTATGGTTTCAATAGTGAAGGTCACACAGTGGTTTTTCAACGTCTAAAAGAACTCAAAGATTCGGGTCGTTTTAATGGCATTTTGGGTATAAATCTGGGAAAAAATAAAACTTCCCCTTCGGCCAAGGACGATTACAAGCAAGGTGTACAATTGTTTGGCCCCATTGCTGATTATCTGGTTATAAACATTAGCAGTCCCAATACTCCCGGATTGAGAGATTTACAGGGCAAAAAAGATTTACAAGAACTATTGGAAACAGTGATACAAACACGTAATGAATTACCCTATAACAATAAAGTACCTGTCCTATTGAAAATTGCTCCCGACCTAACAACTCAAGATATCAAAGATATTGCTTCGGTTATAAATAAAAAGTCTTGCCATGTTGATGGTCTAATTGTCTCCAATACAACGGTGTCACGTGAAAATCTCAAAGATGTTGAGGTAGCTAAAGAAACTGGAGGTCTTAGTGGAGTACCTTTACGTTCGAAGTCGACACAACTTGTTGCCGAAATGTATTACCAGACAAGTGGTAAAATACCCATTGTTGGAGTGGGTGGTATTTCATCGGGTCAGGATGCATTTGAGAAACTGGAAGCTGGTGCTTCTTATTTACAACTGTATACATCATTCATTTACCAAGGGCCACCGGTGGTGAAACGCATTAAGCAAGAACTTGCTGAAATTCTAAAAGCTAAAGGATACAAGTCGATTGGCGAAGCGGTGGGCAGTAATTATAAGGCCTACTTGGGCAAGTAGGTTTTAGTTTTAAGGCAAATGTTTGTATTTCACAGTAGAAATATGACTTTCAATGATTGGATTAAGATTAACGGCACAAATAAAAATGTTTCCCATGACAACTGTGTTCTTATTTCGCATCTCGAATGTTGAAGTTTTTATTCCTAGTTTACATATTAATTATTCCGTGTTGAAATACTTTAAAGATTTAATTCTTTTTATTTTCATATATATTTATTTTTACTATTTTAATAATAAACTAATTATTATTGGCTTCCTTAACACTAAGTACACGTCCTTCCAAGAAGTGTACATTTTGATTGCAGGCACTGTTATAGGCATCACTAGCACTAAAGGTTACAAAACCATAACCCTTTGAGAAGCCCTGCTGTTTGTCATATACAATGGCAGCCGACGAGACATGGCCAAATTTGGAGAAATAGGTTTGCAACTCCTTTTGGCCAACTGTCCAGGGTAAATTACCTACAAATAATTTATATGTTTGGCGTATAAAATTGGACATATTCTGATGATGTTTTACTACAACTCCTTTGTAACTTCTATTAAATGTATGGTATGGCCACCTAATATTTCCAATAAATCAACACCAGATGCTTTACCAATATCGTCACTATTTATCTGCAATGCACACAATTTCCACTTTTTAAGCAATGCCTCAATGGACCAATCTGCACTTCGTTCTTGATAGGTGAATATAAATTTCGCCGAGGGATTGCGTTCCAAAAGAAATGATACCGTCACCAAGATGTCTTCAAATACACAGGGATCGTAGAAACAATCAGCGGCAATAATTAAATCCAAATGACCCAATGACCACAGGCTGTTTAACAGTAAACCCCAACTAAGGCCAATTACTTCGATATCTTGTCCGGGCCGTAAATTATTTATCGTACAAGAGCGCCTTAAATGTTGCAGAGATTTGGGTAAAATAGAATTGTCGCTTAGCAAGACTTGAGCACCACACTTTGCTGCCAATATACCGGGTAAACCAGTGCCGGCACCCAATTCCAAGATACGTTTACCAACCAAGGAGTGACGACGTTCCCACAAGAACCAAGCCAATATCGGTGAACAGGGCCACGTGTAGAAAGAGTAGCCGCTTTGCAAAAGCTAAACAAAGCGCAATTACATAAACAAAATAAAAACACATTAGAATTTTTTATTTATAAAAGAATCAAAAAATTACATTACCTCTGGTATCTTTATTTCCAATTCTTCTAATATACCTGCCGACGATGACTGTCTACCGCTTTGCAAAGATGATAAATTTGTGGAGCTGCCTGTTTCTCGTGATGTAAACACAAAAGTTCTGATATTTTCGTTTATGTCAACCGCACCTCCTGCACTTGTTGATGCTGTCGCTGCTGCTGTTGTTGCTACCGCCGCTGCTGACGTCGTTGACGACGATGAATTTGAGGAATGTTCACTATTATTACTGTTTGTAGATGAATCGCCATTGATATGAAAACGGCCACTAGTCATATTTACAAGGTTTTAAAATATTTATGGAATGTTTTTTGCAGTAAAATTTTTATTTTAAGGTAAAAAATGTTTTTTTTATTTTGTTAATCCAGAGAACGCGAAGTTAATGCGCCGCTGTCACTTGTCGTAAACAAAACAATTATGTTAGTGTTGTAAAGCGCAAAAATGGAAATGTGAAAGGCAATGTGTGGTAATACTTATGAAGTGACGTGCGACTGATGGCAATAATCTATGTGCCATGATTTTTTTTATTATCTGTTTTTTTACTATAAAGCATGAATAAAAATATAAACGCTTATTAAATTCTCTTTAATATTTGATTAAATCCAATTTAAATTAATTGTTTTTATTCCTCCATATTTTTGCCAACCGCCATACGTCTTCTATCGAGAATGTACTTGTATGCTAACGGGATTCATTTGGAGAAAAGACGCTTTGATACACATTCATTCATGCATCATCCATCAAAGGCATCGAAGGAATTTGAGACTGGTTGTGGCGTCTTGTAAAGGAATTCAATTGAGCGTAATTGCAGAATGGATGAAATCAATGATTTCTTTGATTTCTCCAAAGATTTCGAAAAGAAAACTGTGCCTCGAGGCTGTGTATCAGGTTCAGCTTTGGCAACAGCCGGCAAACCGCAGGAATCGAAATCGGCATTTGGTAAACGGGACTATGTTGGGACATCATATGCAAAAACATTGGTGGAATTGGAATGTTTGAAGCTGGATGAGGTAAGGTGGTGTGGTGATGATGATGGTGTGACCAAAAATTCATATTTTTAATTTAAAATTAGCTGGATTTAAATAAAAGCCGCCATACCGAGGCTCACAGTACAGTGGCTTCATCCTGTATGGATGATTTAGAGCCGTTATCTAGTGAATCGGAAAATGAAGATGACGATAGTCCCAGAGGTAGACGTCCAGATGATGGAATTTATGATCGTTATCCTTTCGATTTAAATCGTAATGAATCGTTGCCGATTTATGATAAACGTGATGAAATCGTGGAAATGATACGCACCAATCCAGTGGTAATTTTGGAAGGTGATACAGGATGTGGTAAAACAACACAGGTGGGTATTGCTCTGCTACAGTTGTTAATTAACAGATTTATATTAAGTTTTATAAATGTTTAATCCATGGAAATTTTCCAAAATTGTTCCTTGGGAAATGCGGCCGAAATCGTTTATAACGGCATATATTTCAACGACACATCAGTTATAATGATCGTATCAAAAAGACCCAAGAAAAGTTCTGCCCTTTATTTGATATCGCTTATAACGACCAATGTCCCGGTCCATTCACTGTCGTTATCAGTGATTTTTCGTCTATATTTCAATTTTTTTTTATCTTCATTTAGGTACCCCAGTATATCCTTGATGATGCCTATACTCGACGGGAGTACTGTAAAATTGTGGTTACCCAACCAAGACGTATTGCAGCCATAACTATAGCACGTCGGGTATGCCAAGAACGTAAATGGCAGGAGGGTACACTTGTTGGTTATCAGGTAAGATAGTATTTTGAATTCCAGTTGGTCGATATTTAAATTTGATTTCACATTTAGGTTGGCCTTCATGCCAATTTGAGTGAGGATACACGTCTGCTGTATTGCACCACTGGTGTGTTGTTACAGAAACTTGTAAGGGAAAAATCTTTAGGTCACTTTACACACATCATATTGGATGAGGTCCATGAAAGAGATCAAGAAATGGATTTTCTTTTAATTGTTGTACGACGTTTACTGGCCACCACATCAAAACATGTTAAAATTATTCTAATGTCGGCAACCATTAATACACATGAGGTGAGTTTTGAGATTCAATGCTTCTCTATTTTCCCTATTATTTAAGATGGAATTGGAAAAATATATATTTTTCTTTTCTATTTTAGTTTTCCAATTATTTTCGTATACGACGAGAACCTGCACCAATTATTAAGGCAGATTCTCGTAGACTGTATAAAGTCAGTGAATTTTACTTGTGTGAATTGGGACGTATTAATAACTCGGTAAGTAAACCAATTTTACTTGTCTTAATTATAATTTATAAATTCTTTTTTTTTAAGAATATACAAATTGATTCAGCTGAACCTGGAATCTCAAATGAAATGTATGGTATTGCTTTGAAGCTGATCTATGTTATAGATAATATTGAAAAACATGAAGCACCAAATGCTTCATATAAAACATCAATATTAATATTTTTACCGGGTATCAATGAAATTGATAAAATGTGTCGTCTAATAGAAGACATCAACGACATTGATGAGTATGCTATATAACTTATTTAATTTATTGAAAAGAATAATAAATACATTTCTTATTTTTCCAGTAATACAATAAAACTAAGTCCCATACGTTTACATTCGCTTATATCACCCGATGAACAATTGAAAATATTTCATCAAGCACCACCCGGATATCGTAAGGTTATATTATCAACAAATATTGCTGAGAGTTCTGTTACTGTACCTGATGTAAAATATGGTAAAACTATTATATAAACTTTTAATTTTAATAATTGTAATTGTATATTTTTTGTCTTGTTTTGCAGTAATTGATTTTTGCCTTACCAAATCATTGGTAACCGATTCGGCATCAAATTTCTCTTGCTTACAATTACATTGGGCATCTAAGGCAAATTGTCGTCAACGTTCCGGTCGTGCGGGACGTGTAATGAATGGTCGTGTTTATCGTTTAGTACCACGCTATCATTATGATGTATGTAAAGATTTTATTTACACAATTTATAGCTTAGTGTTTGCACCAAATGGAAACTATTTTTAAAATCAATTGGTTGCATAGGGATCTGTGAATTCAACTTCTTAATTTTCAAAGTAATATACAACCAATTTCCAATTCCCGATATATTTTTTTATTTATGCATGCACCTTTCCCAAGTTAATATCTGACCAACTTCCAATCACCAATAACAAATTCGTTCATATATTTACAGAATTGCATGCATGATTATAGTGTACCGGAAATGTTACGTTGCCCCTTAGAAAATGTTGTCTTGCGCGCCAAACTTTTAGATATGGGACCACCACCAGATATTCTCGGTTTGGCCATGAATCCACCAAATCTAAGTGATATCCATAATACAATATTAATGTTAAAAGAATTGGGTGCATTGTATATGACTGTAAATGGTACATATTCGGTGCAAGATGGCGATATTAGTTTTATGGGCCGTATTATGGCCGCATTACCATTAGATGTACGTCTAAGTCGTCTTATTGTTTTGGGTTATATTTTTGGTGTGTTGGATGATGCTGTTATTATGGGTAAGTAAATGTTTTACGGGCAAGAAATTTAACTGGGGTCAAATTATGAGTTTCTATATCGAGTTGATTCTATCGAGATCAAACATGGCATGACCGTATCAGATACCGAATCTCATAAATTGACCCCTGATTTATTACCTGTTTTACGTTTATTTTAATTCCTGACTTATAAAAAAGTATGTATTATTGGTAATATCTTGTGTTTTTTAGCTGCTGGCTTGAGTGTTCGCTCAGTCTTTCAATTTCAATCGAAAACACCACAAAGTGATTGCGAGGCCTATATCAAAAAGTTGTCATTTGCAGATGGTTCTGGCTCAGATCTATTTGCCATTTTAAAGGCCTATAAGGTATGTTTCGCTAACAATGATTTTTGTTCTAATAATAATTTTCTAAAAATACCCAGCTCTGGTTATCAATGTGCGAACAAAATAATTTACGTGATGATGATGCACAATATGCCTGGGCAAATCGTTGTTATCTGAATATACGTTCTTTAAAAGAAATGCATTTGCTACGACAAGAGATTCAAGAACGTTTAGATGGTTTTAATTTGAAGACTAGAAATTCCCATCAACATGTTCATTGGATGGATCGAGAAAAAACAACAATATTAAAGATTGTTATTGCCGGTGCATTTTATCCGAATTATTTTACACGCTCAGCCTTAAATGATACAGATCGTGAACGTGGTCTCTATCATATATTGTGTGGCAATGATCCTTGTAGTACGGTTTATTTTACCAATTTCAATACAAAACATATTGGTCAGCTGTATTCGCAATATATTAAAGATTTATTTCGTGATTTGGAAATACCACCTCAGGATATTGAAGTTCGTTTTCAAGCCGGATCAGAAAAGGTATTGGTTACCTTCAAAAATGATTTGGAAAAAGACTATGATGAGAGTAGTAAACGTTTGAAGGTACCGGGTCGTGTTCGCCCTGAAGTTTATAAAGCCATACGTATGCGTATGTCGAAAATGCGTACTGTTATCAATGTTATGGAGTGAGTTGTTTGGTTGTCATTTATCTTAAAATTGTGATTATTTGAATTTTCTAATATTTTGTAGTCCCCGCTTGGCTGCGAAATATGCCGAGGACAAGGGTTATGGTGCCATGATAGATGGTGTTTGGCAACCGCTGAAAAATCAATTGAAACATCCGGATTTGTATGTGCTGCCTTCGGTGTTCCAAAAGAAGTTAAAGGGTCGTATCACACATGTATGTATTGCGGAAATTTTATATGAATATACAGATTTTTATACGTTTTTTTTCGGTTTTGTATAGAAAGTCCTTTTGTTCTTCTAAAAGAGGACCATTTTTTCTTTCATACGAAACCTTTTTGTATATTTATCATATCGGTTTTTATTAAAGGACATTCTGATCTCAATATATATTTTCAAAATACACAATACTAAAATATATAATTTTTTATTTTCATTCCTTTTACCTTTACGCAGATTGAGAATTGCAGTAAATTTTTCTTCCTTCCTATTGCTGAAAAGAATCGTTTCAATGAGATGCTTGATATTTTGAATAATGACCAAAAATTAGATGCAGCACGCTTTCAGACTCCAGCTGAGGTGGCAAAAGGCATGATTTTATTGGCACCTCTCAGTGATCAGTATCAAAGGGCAATGGTTTTGAAAATCTCTACAGCTGCAGCACTTCAATTTAAGGTATTTTGTAAAATGATAATAAATTTCTTTAAAAATGTGTGTATGTCTCATATCCCTTTTTCAGGTCCTCTTCATTGATGTTGGCAGTACGGCATTTGTACGTTTCGAACAATTGCGATTCTTGTGGCTAGAAATTGCTTCAATGGCCGAAATACCACCACGCATATTTGAGTGTCGTTTGGCCATGATTGAACCATCTACTGTGCGCTCACCCAATGGTAAATGGTCGGAAGAAACTAAGGAACTTTTGGAAGAATTTGCCGATGCTGGCAATGTGGAAATTGAAATATTCTCTGTGGTGGAGGCAGTGGCCAATGTAATTATTAACATTGGTAATACTACATTCAACGATATATTGGTGGAAAGGAAGTTGGCCAGAAGTTCCGATGAGAATTATCTGTCAAAGGTAAGGACGAAATGAATTTATGATGCTTGTTTAAAAAAAAATATATATATATTTTTTTTTGGGTCCTTATCATTACAGACTGACCATAATTACCGTCAACGACAACAGGCCTTGGCCAATCGTTACCTGGACGAAGATCATACGCGTCAAAATGAAGTATATCTAAGTTCAATTTTACCCAAAAAGGAAAAAGATATACCACCACCACCGCTGACAATGTGTAATAAAATGATAAGACTGCGTGGCCCCTTCTCACCGCTCGAATCGAAAATATTTTCCACCGTACGAGCTGGTTCATGGAAAAGTGTTGAAATTGAAAGGGATTCGGTAAATTCAGTATTACTTGATACAGATCCTCAAGATGTTCATGAACGATTGTATGTGGCGGCTGGTGTTACGGCCACACAATCAGGTGATACAATTGTGGCCCGGGCAACAAATCTAATGCCTAATATTCATGGTTTTGGTGCTCTCATGACAATGCTATTTTGTCCAACAATGCAAATAAAACGCAATAGTAGTTGTACAAAATATGTTGCTATATTGGCGGGATTGGGTTATAATCCCACCACCTATAAACCACTGTATGCCGAACATGATGTTGTGCTCAATTTGGATGTGGAAATTAAAACGGAAGATTTTGAAATGGTAGGTGTTGGCAGGGCTGCATTTAGGATATTTTTAGTATTGTAAAAGAGGACCATTTGGTTTTCAAAACAAAAGTTTGGTCTTATAGACGATTTTTTGCTTTATATAACAATGCTTTATGGTCTTCTGAGAATATTTTATTTCAAATATATTTTAAATTTGAATTACCTTTTGATTTTCCAAAATAAAGTAAGTTAATTTGCATTACAGATCAATCAGTTGCGTTATTGCATGGATTCACTACTCTTCACCGATATCGGAGAGGAAAGACCAATCATACTCCCCAAACAAATTGGTGATTTACAGGCGAAAATCAAACAACTTATTATTAAGTATGCATAAATATAAACATAAATTCAAATACAATTTCACTTAATTATCTATAAATCTCCTCCATCTTCAGGTTACTGAGTAAAAATCGCAAATATATTGAAACACATGTCAGCGAAAATGATAATATTTGGCAAGAACATGATAGCAGTGAAATATTAGAAACAGTTGCTGTTCTAGGTGATCGTTCGTTATTCCCCATGTTGCCGGCATTGGTGTTGCATGATGAACAATATGATAAAATACAATCACTGCTATTGCATTGTCAAGAATTGCATAATTTGGCACAATTGTAAGTTGTTTTTTGAGGAATGTTTTGTATTTTAATTTATTTTTTATTTTTAATGTTTTTGTTTTCCTTACTCTTTTTTTTGTCCAGTGGTGATACTGTCAAGCCTTTAACATGCCGTTTGTGTAATCAATATTTGGAAAATGTTGTACAAATACGCATACATTTGTTATCGCAGCTACATCGTGATGGTGAATATCAAATACGCTATAAGTCAAACAAGTGAGATGCAAGAATTGTTTTGAAAACCAAAGAATACAACAATTTTTTATGGACTCCTATTTTTTTATTTAGTTTTAAGTGTCATTGAAATGAATTTCCTTTTATTTTTTTAATGTTTTGATACTGATGTATTATTGCAATATCTTTTAAAAAGATAACTACTTTTGAATAAAAATTAACCATATTAAATGCTAAATACTATGTGGTCTATAAAGCATTCTCTTTTGGCACCTCTCCACAGATGGTCAACTCTTTGATAAAAACATATACCTCATATAAAGCGAAATAATTCCGATATATACCTTTTGCTTGTTTTTTATGCCTGGCAAAGAATTTCCTTCTTTTTATTTAAAGCCAAAAATTTATTTGTATTTGTTGTTGTTAATCATTAACTCTATAGCTCTTATATTAGCTTTGGTTTACAATAATGTTGTTTAATCAAACAATGTTTTTTTATATAATTAAAAAATACAATCTTAAATGAAAAGGGAAAAATTAAAACGTAACTTTAAAGAAAAAATTATAGAATGCAAATTATTTTGTTAAAAAAAAACACGAAACTCCTTGTGGAAATTAGTCGAGTTATGCACACAGAGTATAATTGCGCATACTGTTCAACGGTTTACTGCAAAGGCCACACATTTTATTCTTGTACACGGAGAATATTTCCAAATTTAATATATTCAACATATCAAATTGTATGGTGGAGGGCATCAAATTGTTTTCCACAATTAGAATATTTTGTTCGTTGACTTCGACCCTGGAAAAAAGGAAGAGAAACAACAAATTAGTATTTGATAAAAAAAAAGTATCAAAAGAAAGATACGCAGACTTTTAGGCCTCTTTATTGGGGATTTTTTCATGGAGAAGGCCTGAAAAGGCCTTTCGGTCTATTCTTTGATAAAGCATTTCAGCCTTCCAAAAGAAGTTATATTTGGTCTTTTAAAAGAAGTCTTTTGGTCCCCTATTTCTTATAGGTCTTCAATAAGACGACCTCTTTTGAGGAGCATTTTTGATCTCTCGAGAGAAGGCCTGAACGAAGACCTTTTGGCCTTTTATAAGAAGACATTGGGGATTTCTTTGATAAGGCATTTCGGACTTCCAAAGGAAGGTATATTTGGTCTTCTAAAAGAAGACTTTTAGTCCTCTTTTTCTTATAGGTCTTCAATAAGACGACCTTTATTTCTCAATAAGATGGCATTTTAATCTTCTATATGAAATCCTATTTGACATGCCCTATTTGGAAATCCAAGGTAGACGTTTTGGTCTCCTAAAAGAAGACGGTTTAGTCCTCTATTTATTATTGGTACTCAATAAGACGACCTTTTGTTTCTCAATAAGAAGACTTTTTAGTCTTCTATATGAAAACTTTTTTGGCCTTTTATAAAAAATCCTTTTCGGTCTTCTATAAGACTTCTAAAGAAGGACCATTGTAGGAATACCTCTTTAGTCTTTCAGAACAACACCTCTTTGCTTTTCTATAAGAAGTCCCTTTTGGTCTTCTATGAGAAGCCCTTCTGTATCGTCTTTAAGAAGACATTTGGGACTTCTTTGAAATAACGGCGAGATCTTCATTGAGAAGGCGATAGGGTGTTCTTGAAGGATTTTGGAACCACATTGTTTTTAAATAAGAAGACCACTTTGGTCTCCTATATGTAGACCCCTTTGGTCTTCCATAAGAAGACCTCTTTGGAATTCTTTAAGAAGGTAGAAGATTCTTGTCTTCTACCTGAAGTCCTTTTGATCTTCTATATAAGGACTTTTTAGTCTTCTACAGGAAGATCTATTTGGTCTTCTATAAGAAGACCTCATTTGTCTTCATTTTACCCCACAAAAATACTTACCTAAAATCAAATTTATTTCCTTCCTCCGGATATTGATAGGGTTTCTCTCGTACATTAACGATTTTCTCATTATCATTGAGGGTAATCAAAACGGGTGTCTTATCATCGGTACTGTTCGTTGATTTAAATGTGAAATAATTCTCTCCAATATAAACCCGCAAACCATAATTGGAACTTAAACTATTCTCAAAGTTGGGCATTAGGAATATGGCCATTTCACGCAAAGGACTACAATCGGCAGCCAGTAGGGTCTGACAATTTGCCGCTTTTGTCACTTTGTGATAGTCAGCCAAATCGATAAGATAATCATCGAAACTATTCACCATACCATTGATGACGGAACAGGAACCTAAAAATAAAAACAAATTTAAACAATTTTCAATTTTTATTTCCAGAGACCGACTTACGTTTAACACCCGAATCGTAGAGTATTTCATGTGATGCATCATATTTCGAGTCCAATTTCTGTATAAATGGTATATGATAAATCCTGCGATGCACCCCATTAACTTCAATGGTTAACCAGAAATGATCGTTGGGTAAATTAATGGACAGGTGAATCTCTTTGCTCATATTCAAACGTTCGACTTTGTCATGGGAGAAGGAGGATACAAAATGATCCAAACGGCTGGACCATAAGTCAAACCAATCGGGCATCTGGAAAGGGTAAAATGAAATAATTTTAAAATCAATAACAAATTAAAATTAAACTACGTTTACATTCATGTAACTTATCTTAAATCTCTTTTAGACATAATATTGAAGGATGAAAACCCATAACCCCACTTAGGGGAAGGGTTCCCCTTTCCCGTTTACTTACATTATTAAATTGCACATCCATATCATATTTGGTAACCGATGTAAAGTTCTCGAAATTACTTCGTTTACAATATTTCGAGGTGGGTATTGGTGTGAATTTTAATACTTCTTTGGGACAAAAACCGGTATCTGTTAAGGGATTATCAGACAGTAGGAATTCACGGGCACGATCCGAGGGCTAAAACAAGAAAATAACAAAAACAAGCAATTAAATCATGGACCCAATAATTCAAAATAAAAAAAATAGTAACTTACCCCAGCTCTACTATTAAATGTAATACTGGAACCTTCAACAGGACACTGATTGTCGGTGGTGGCATTGCCGAATGTTATAGAACCCATTAAGGTGTGAGGACGTTTGGTGAACACCAAGGGAGCATAGGTGACATTGATGCAGGCCTGGAAAAAAGTAGAAAAATATAATTTTAATTCGATATTCATTTAGGAATAATATGATATTCTCTAAGGACTTCTTAATGAAGACCAAAGGGTCTTACTATAAAAAAGTCTTCTTATATCAGAATTATTGGGGTTCTTAGATTAGACAAATAGGTGGTTTTATAGAACTGACAATTGTCCAACATCTTTATATTGAAATACCACATATTATTTATAGATAACCAAAAGGTTCACTTTTAGAAGTCCAGTACGTCTTCTAATAGAAGATATACATTTATTCATTGCAAAGAGAATAGGTTTTGTAGAGGAAAGCTTTAGCTCAACTTAGCTGAATACTATTTTATGTAGAAAGGTTGTAATTTAGCTTAGATGAATACAGTTTTATGTAGAAAAATCGTAATTCAGCTTAGCTGAATAGAGTTTTTTTTATAGAAAACCCGTACGCTGAATACTAAATACAGTGATATAAAAAAAATTTTTAATTATATATAGCTGAATACAGTTTCATGTAAAAAAATGGTAATTCAGCTAAGCGAAATATATATTTTATGTAGACAAATTAAAATTCAGCTTTGCTGAATACATTTTATGTAGAATAAAATTTAATTCAGCTTCGCTGAATACAGTTTTATGTATAAAAATTGAATCCATTTTTTTTGTAGGCAAATGTTTATTCAGCTTCTAATATTAAAATTAAAATTTCTTCATAAGAATGATAATAGGTTTTGTAGAGGAAAACTTTAGTTCAGCTTAGCTGAATACAGTTTAATGTATAAAGATTGAAATTAAGCTTAGCTGACTAGAGTTTTATGTAGAATATGTAGTAGTTCAGCTAAGCTGAATACAGTTCTAGGTAGAAAAATCGTAATTCAGCTTAGCTGAATAGCGTTTTAAGTAGAAAAATGTTAATTCTGTTTAGCTGAATACAGTTATATGTAGAAAAATTGTATATTATCTTAGCTGAATAGAGTTTTGCATAGAAAAATGTCAATCCAGTTTAGCTGAATACAATTTTATGGACACAATTTTTAATTCAGCTAAGCTAGATATATCTTTATGTTAAAAAATTTTAATTCATCTTCGCTAAATACAGTTATATGCAGAAAAAATTTCAATTCAGCGTAGCTGAATACGATTTTAAATATAGAAAAATGACAATTCAGCTAAGCTAAATATATTTTTATGCAGTAAAATGGTAATTCAGCTTAGCTGAATATTGTTTTCAAAACTAAAATTTCTTTTCAGCTTAACTGAATACAATTTTCTATAGATAAACTTCTATTTAGCTAAGCTAAGTAACGCTTTCTATAGGAAATTTTCAATTCAGTTTAGGTAAATAAAACTTTCTTTGGGGAAACGTAAATTAAGCCAAGCTAAAAACAATACCCTGTAGCAAAATTTCAATTTAGCTAAGGTGAATACAGTTTTTTCTTGGAAAAATTCAATTTGGCTTTGCTAAATAGAATTTTCTATGGAAAAGCTTCAATTCAGCTAAGCTGAATAAAGTTTGTCAGAGGAAAATTTACTTCCAGTATAGCAGAATACAATTTATAGGAAAAATTTAAATTCAGCTTCGTTAAATACAGTTTTCTTGATTTGAATACAGTTTTATATAAGGAAATTTCAATTAAACTTAGCTAAATACATGTTTCTAAGGGAATTCTATATGGAAAATAAAATGTAGGTTTGCTGAATATAGGTTTCCATAAAAAAACGTCAATTCAGGATAGCTGAATACCGTTTTCTATGGAAAAACTTTAAATCAGCATAACTTGTTCTATGTAAAAACTTTAATTCACCTTAGCTGAATACAAAAATACTATGATGTAGCTAAGTTGAATATAGTTTCCTACATCCAAACATTAATACAGCATAGCTGACTACTGTTTCCGTTGGTAAAAGTTATTCTTTAGCCGTGATCATTTAAATACAAATAGAAATCATTGAAATGCAAGACTTTTTATACCAAACAATATGTGATAGTGTTGGTTTCTATTTACTACAACAACAAAAACAAAAAAATCAAGAACAGAAAACCCTGCAAGTAACTTAAACGGAAATCACAGACATGACGACCATAACTAGATTCTTCAACAGGAGCGTTGCGGTAGCCGGGGGAAACCAAAGGCCTTAGTCGTTGTCTTCTTCTTGAGAATGGACATTTTTAGGTTAATTCAAAGTTAAATTGTTTTTTAGCATATGTAAGTATGTACATACGTATGTCAGTTCAAAGGATTTAGGCCACAAACAGATAGACATTGTAACAGTAGTCTACATTTCAAATCACCATGACACTAATAAGGACAAAAACGCACACAGAAACGCTCACTTTGGAAAAAATAACTGAATAAAAAAAAAACTACAATGCCATGGTGGCGAGTAGCATGAAAAAAAGTACGCCTACATAAGTATAATAATAAAAAAAATAACAACAACAATGACAAACAACACGATATACTTATAAATTTATTGTACATATTTATGTGAATGAATGAAAACTATATTTATGGAACAGTGGGCCGGAGAATATCTGATCGTGATAGCTGCATGCAGTTTTCTATGGAAAAATTTCTATTCAGCTTGGCTGAATAAATTTTATTCTTAAGAAAAACCTTAATAAGCTGAAACTTCAATTCATCTTAGCTGAATAAAATTTTCTTTATGAAAACTTCCTTTCAGCTCAACTGAATACCATTTTCTATAGGAAAACTTCCATTCAGCTTAGCTGAATACCATTTTCTATAGGAAGACTTCCATTCAGCTTAATTGAATGCCGTTTTCTATTGGAAAACTTCAATTCAGCTTAGCTGAACACCATTTTCTATAAGAAAATTTCCATTCAGTTTAGCTGAATACCGTTAAGAAGAAAACATCCCTTCAGCTTAGCTGAATACAGTTTACTATAAGAAAACTTCCACTTTCTTTCTTTACAACTTCAACGCAGTATAATTTTTATTTGGTAACCGTTAATTTAAATCAATTCAGCTTTGTAAAAACAGCTTTCTTTAGAAAAACTTCCAGCTGAATACAATTTTCTACAGAAAAACTTCCAGCTGAATACAGTTTTCTATAGAAAAACTTCAATTTATCCCTGCTGAATGCAATTTTCAATAGAAAAACATCAATTTAGTTCAGCTGAATATAACTTTTTATAGTAAAACTTTAATTCAGATTAGCTGAATACAATTTTCTATGGTCAAACATCATTAAGTTTAGGGGAATAACATTTACCGTAGAAAATCGGTAATTCAACTTGCCTACTATACGAAAATGTCAATTTAGTTTAGCTGAATACAATTTCAATTTAGGTAAGCTCTATACATTTTTCTATAAGAAAACATTAATTCAGCAACTATACCCAGCTAATTTTTATTGAATTATTTTAATTCAGTTTGACTGAATTTAATTTTCTTAATAATTCAACTTAGCTGAATTCAATATTTTAAATTAAATATTTAATTCAGCGCAATTACATACCGCTTTCTTTATGAAAACTTTTATTCAGCTTAGCTGAATACAATTTTATGTAGTTAAATTTCAATTTAGGTAAGCTGTATACATTTTTCTATAGGAAAACATTAATTCAGGACCTATACCCAGCTAGTTTTTATTGAATTATTCTAATTCCGTTTAACTGAATACAATTTTCTTTAAGAAACCCTTTAATTAAACTCAGCTGAATTCAATTTTCCAAAGGAAAACTTTAATTCAGCTAAGTTACATACCGTTTTCTTTATGAAAATTTCTATTCAGCTTAGCTGAATATACATTATTTGGCAAAACTTCTATTCAGCTTAATTAAATAAGGTTTTGTTTGTAGAAATGTTTATTCAGCTTAGCTGGATACCATTTTGATTGCAGAAACTTTGACTGAATCCAATTTTCTTAGGAAAACCTTTAATTCAATTCAGCTGAATTCAATTTTCTGAAGAAAATTTTTTAATTCAGGTCAATTAAATACCGTTTTCTGAAAACTTCTATTCAGCTTAGCTAAATATACTAACTATATCTTGGAAAACTTTTACTCAGCTTAGCTGCATATACTATATACTTGGAAAACTTCTATTCAGCTTTGCTGAATATACTTTATTTTGGAAAACTTCCATTCAGCTTAGTTGAATAAAGTGTTCTTTTGGAATATGTTAACTCAGCATAGCTGAATAATTTTTTTATTATAGAAACCTCAATTCAGCATAGCGGAATTTCGTCTTCTTTGATAAAACTTAAACTCAGCTTGGCTGAATGTCATTTTCTTAAGAGAAACTTTAATTCAGCATAGCGGAGTACAATTTTCTGTTGCCGAACTTCAATTTAATTGGGGAAAAAAATAATTCACCGTTGCTGAACACTGTTTTCTTTAAGAAAAACTTTCATTCAGCTTAGCTGAATAGCAGTTGCTTTGTGAAAACCAACCATTCCGCCTAGCAGAATTCTATATTCTATAATAAAACTACAATTCAACTCAGCTGAATTCCTTATATTACAATCCTGTCCACTGTCCACAGTGAAAATCCCCACAACCCCTTTCCACCCAGCACATTATGGGGCTTACAACCCATAGAGAGTACCCCACAAATGAATGCCATCGAAATAATTGCAACTATGGTTGTTGTTACAACAATAGATACCAACCAAGAAAATAATAAAAAAAAAGACAACAACATCAACAATCAACCGCATGTTTGCTTTCCTGCTATCCACCTAGCCATCCTCGTGTGATTGCAAGGAACGAACGGACGAACGAACAACTGAGCGAGCTTCTGACATTAACAACAGCTTGGCCTAAACCAAACAGTTGTAGTGAACTTGCCACAACGTTCAAAACACGAAGTGTGCGGCTGGCATTTATTTATGTTTTTCGTATCGTTTAAGTGATTTCGAATTTTTCCACTAGAAATTATGAATGGGATTTTGAAAGTAGTGAAGTGAAAACACACACACACACACAAGAGACAAAGAGGAAGTAACAAAACACGGAGAAACGCACAATACAAATCCGACCGTCCGTAACCATCAACAACCAATCAACCAGCCAAGTCAACCAGGCATTGCAACAGAGAAATTAAGGACGTTTGATCAATAGTTTTCAATTAAATATTTTCAAGGGAACTCGAGGACAGCTGAATTACTTTTTTCCAACAAAGTAACAAGTGCCGTAATTGGAAAACAATTTTGAAAAAAAAAATATTTTAGTAATTTTGAAATTGAAATAAATTGGAAAAAATGTCCTCGGTAAGTTTCCTATTATTTTATTTTTTTTTTTTCAAAAAATTAATAAAAGTCTTTCGTTTCTTTTTAGATTGAATCAAAACGTGTCCAATATCGAAAATATTTGGAACGTGCCGGGGTCATTGATGCCCTCAGCAAGGCCTTAATCAAATTGTATGAGGAACAAAATAAACCCGAAGATGCTATACGCTTCGTTAGGAAATTTATGTGTGAATCATGTCCTGATGATACCCAGTTCGATACCATGAAAGCAGATTTGGAAGAGGCCAATAAGACTATTGTAAAATTGGAACAAGATTTAGAGCGACTACGATCAAAAATGTAAGTACATAATTTGAATAAGATAAGATTATCTATAGAGAGATAAGATTGTCTATAGATAAATTATAAATTATATAGATAAATTATCCACATTATCTACAGAACTTAAATCAGCTCCCTTCCTCTATCTATCTTCCTCACTCTCTTCCTTTATCAATCTTTTTTCAGTAAAAAATCCCCCGAAGAGGTAGCCGAACTACTCGAAGAAGGCTTTAAGCAACTCACAGAGGATGAAGAACATGCTGTCTCTCTTCTACGGAAATATTTAACCCGTGAAATTTTAGATGAATATAAATCTGTATTCACTGCGGCCCCCCTGGAATCATCCCTCTTGGATTGTGTTCAATCTGGTTTCAATCATCACGATTCATCGTGTGGTGTCTATGCAGCCGATCCTGAATGTTATGATACCTATACGAAATTATTCGATCCTTTGATACGTGATTATCATGGCCAACTGGATAATGATAAGGAACAAATACATCCTGATACCGATTTTGGTAATGCCGATGAAATTGAAAATTTAGATCCCGAAAGGAAATATATTAAATCGACGAGGATACGTATTGCTAGAAATATTGAAGGATATCCCTATTTTACGAAATTGAGTGAAAAACAATTTAATGAAATCGAACAGAAGGTGAAGGATGCCACCGAATCATTTGATGGCGAATTGACGGGAGCCTATTTTAGTATGGAAGATATTCCCGCCGAGACACAGGCGGAAATGGTGGCACGTCATATTTTGTTTAAACGCGGTGATGCCTATCTACAATCGGCTGGTTGTTATCGTTTTTGGCCAATTGGTCGTGGTATATATCACAATCCGTCGGAGACATTTTTGATATGGGTCAATGAGGAGGATCATTTGCGTATTATATCAATGTCCAAGTGTGGAGATTTGGGTGAGTCAGAGAGATTTCACTCAACAGAGAGTGAGGAAGAAGATTTTAATCGGTTTTCTACTTAATAGGTGATGTCTACAATCGTTTGATTAAGGGCCTTCAGGAATTAGAGAAAACCCTCACATTTGGGCGCCATCCACGCTATGGTACATTGACGGCATGTCCAACAAATTTGGGTACAACTCTAAGAGCATCGGTGCACATACGTTTGCCTTTACTCTCTAAGGATGAGGAACGTTTGAAAACATTGGCCAATGAATTGCATTTACAAATTCGTGGTACCGGAGGAGAACATACCTCAATTGTCGATGGTGTAATGGATATTTCCAATCGAAGACGTTTGGGTTTTACCGAATTTGAATTAGTCAAATCACTACAAGAGGGTATTATTACACTAATCAAGGCCGAACAAGAACTGGAAGCCAAGGAATAGTTGGAAAATCAACTTCGAACTTACATTTAGGCTCGGGTTTATCGATTTTTTTTATGTTCTTAGATAAATTATATGAACTTTCCTTTTTTGGTTAAAAATAAATTTTTGATTTCAAAAGGAAATATAAAAAATCTCTCTGCAAGGTATACCATAAATGTTCAGAAAGGGACCTATCCTAATTTATTTCCTTTTATAAATACTCTCTCCAGCACCACTCTCATGTGGGAGTTCTCTTTAAGTGATAGTGATTACTCTCCCACTTACCTTCCAGTCTTTAGGTTCCGTCGATGCGGCATTCGAACCCTTTGCCACAGCGGTACGCTGAACATTACCGGCAATATTAAACCATGTGGTTTTCTTTGATGACTCCACATCCATATCTATGATCCATTTATGCAGATCTTGATCCTGATGTTGATCATCGGTGTGTTGAAGAGTGAAGTTAATGTGACGCAGAGATTGGTCATGGGATTTCAATTCTTCAGTACTGCAAATGGCACCCTCAATCTGGAAAAGAGTTTTTTTTTATAAAAAAAAGCTCTCTTTGTAAAAATATATATTCTCTCTCTTTCTTACCTTGGTAAATTTATCATTCGATATTAACATGGTGAAATTACGATCATGACCCAAATGTATCGAGCTCAACTGGGCCACACCGAAGACATACATCAGGAAGTTGATAATCATGTTGCGCGAAAAGCCACTGCAATATTAATGAAGGAAAAATGGTAAAGGATATTGTCAAGGTTAGGGGAGTTCAAATACTTACTTCTCCATGAATTCCGATTTCACCAACATACCACGATATTTGTTCAGTTCATTCAAATTGGTATTGATCACAATAGACATGCCCAAATCTTCCATGTCGTATTTGAATAATTGGAACTGAAATGAGAGGGAGAGAACATAAACAATAAATAAGTTACGGTACATATTGGACGAGCTGAATGGCCAGGGATATTTTATTTATTATATTTAAATGAGGTGTAAATTAGGGCAGCGAGTCATTTATAGACGAGCTGGTAATGTATACAGAAGAGTTAAAGCGAAGAGTCCTATAGACGACCTAAAGCAGGTTGCCTCTATAGATGAGCTGAAGTAGGGGGCTTCAATAGACGAGCTACATGTCCAGCGAGTCTCCGTATACGGGCTGAAACAGGGTATTTAGCTAAAGCAGAGATTCTCTAGAGAAAAAAGCTGAAAGGCCACAGGTCAAACAATTTTTCGTAGACGAACTGAAGGTTAGTGTAGAAGAGCTTAAAGTCAGGGACCATTTCATAGGCAACTTGAAAGTCAGAAGGTAAATACATCATACATTATTACCTCAATGTACAGGGAGACTTTCATATGCGAGCTGAAGAACAAAGGAGTTTTTTTATATAAGATCCGAACTACCAGAAAGTCTTTAGAGATGAGATGAATTGAGATGGATTCTTTCATAGGCTAGCTTATCAGAGAGTATTTCATAGTTGAAAGGCCAGGGAGTCTGTTATAGAGTTGATGATCCACGGAGACTCTCATATGTCTGCTAAAGGTTCTGGAAGTATTTCATAGGCAAGTTAGAAGTCAGAGGGACTTTCACAAGTGAGCTGGAGGTTCAGGGAGACTTTCATATGTGAAGAACGAAGGAGTCATTAGAGAAGAGCTGGAGGACCAGAGAACCTTTATTGATGAATTGAAGGGTCCGATAATCATTCATAGGCGAACTGAGGAGCGCGGAAGTATATCACAGGCAAACTGAATGTCAGAGAGTCTTACATAGACGAGCTGAAGGTTCAGGGAGCATTTACAGACGAACTGAAAGTCCAGGAAGCCATTCATAGGTTAGCTTAAGGCTCAGGGAGGATTACATAGACGAGCTAAAGGTTCAGGGTGTATTGATTTGCGGACTAAATGTCTAAAAAAGCAATTCATAGAAGAACTTACAGATCAACCGAAGGGCCATAGAGTCTTTCATAGGCGAGCTGAAAGCCCAGGAAATATTTCACAGGCAAATTGAAGGTCAGAGAGTCTTTCTTAGGCGAGCTAAAGGTTAATGGAGTATTTATAGATGAACTAAAATACCAGGAAGCCATTCATAGACTAGCTAAAGGTTCAGGGATGTTTTCATAGACGAACTAAAGTCTCAGAGAGTATTGATTGACGAACTGAAGGCCTAGGAAGCAATTCATGGATGAAATGGATGTCAGGGAGTATTTCATAGACTGAACTGAAGGTCAAGGGAGACTTTCATATGTGAGATAAATAGCGAATAAGGCATTATAGAAGACGTGAGGGACCAGAGAGTCTTTACAGATGAGCTAAAGGCCCTGAGAGTCTTTCATAGGGGAGCTGAAAGCCCATAATGTATTTCACAGGCAATCTGAAGGTCAGAGAGTCTTTTTTAGCCGAGTTATGAATGGCTTCCTGGGCATTCATAGACTAGCTAAAAGCTCAGGGAGTATTTATTGACGAACTTAAGGTATAGGAAGCATGCAGTCAGGGAATGTTTTATAGACGAACTGGAGGTCCAGGGAGACGTGAGGTAAGTAACAAAGAAGTCATTATATAAGAGCTGAGGCTCCAGAGAGTCTTTACAGATGAACTGAAGCTGGCAGTCAGGTAGTAGAAGTGTTTATAGGGGATATTAAGGTTCAAATAGGCTATTATAGGTCAAGGGAGTCGTTATAGATGAATTGAAGATCAATGAAGTTTTTAATAGATGAGCTAATGACCAAATTGTGTTAAAGATCAATCAAAGGTACACGGGAACTGAACTGAAGGTGTAGACCAGGTAGCATTTAATAGGCGAGAATTAGAGAAGGAATGGGAGCTTTCATCGACAAAATGAATTTTTGGGGAATTCATATGGAATCACGGCTTCATAGAAGACTTTATATCGTATAAGTATCATTTGAAGGGTGCGGGAGTCTCTGTAGGCGAGCTAACGAAGTCTGTCTTAAACGAGCTGAGGATCGATGAGTTTTTCATAAACGAGATATAAGCTAGGGAATGTTTTATACATTAAATGATAAGTTTGGGAGTTTTTAAATGCGAAGCCAGGGAGTTTTGTAGAGGCTAACTGAATAGCAATGATCGCTAAGGTAAAGCGGAAGCATCAGCGAACTTTTCATAAATCATCTCAAGAGTTTGAACGTTTGTAAGCGAGCTTCAGCAAGTTCTTTTTTGTTGAAAATACCAGGCGGTTTTCTTTGGTGGAGAAGTTATGTATGGTTCCAGGGATTTCCTGTGACCAGATGAAGGACCTTATTATGCTCAAATATGTTTTTTTAACCTAGAGCTAAAGGATGAAGCTCCGATTGTATTTTTTTCATACCCACATCTTATATTTAGGAGACGAAGAGGCAGAAGATTACAAAATCTTCTAATTGATTGAAGACCTTGATATATTTTTAAATATTTAAGAAAATTAGATTATCTCATAACTCACCACATCATGATGTCTTTCCGGATACATAATTTCCTCAAAAGGTTCACTAGCCGATTTCGTTATCAATCCCTTCGTTATGGTCACGGAACGTGATTTAAACGATAGACCACTTGTAAGATTTTCTGGTCTCGTAAACGTGTATTCCCAACAGGCACCAGCATAATAATTCACTCTCAAGTAGAGTGGTATATAGATAAGGAAACCTTGTTCACGATTTATTTCATGATCCAAATTTAAGAAGGGGTTATAACTTCGGCTGCGGCATGAAGCATACGATGAATAGCGAGCATCAATTTCCAATGAAGATTGCATAACTTTAGTTTCATGATATTGGGTAATGTTGCCACGTAGCGAGGTGAGTACAGTGGTTTGTAGCAAAACATCTGCGTGAGTACCCAAGACAGTGGGTACAACATATTTAGTCATGAATGGCCAGCGTACTGTTTGCATGTTTATGTGGGAATCTGCGTGAATCAGGAAACTAATGCGATCAATTACTGTAAAAAAATTGAATTTGAATATCTTCTCTTTTATCTTGAAAGGTATGTAAACCTACAATCGTAATAGGTTATCTTCTGGTAGGACCTCTCATTCAAATAGTATGACAAAACGGTCTTGCCTTCCATTTTCAAAATGAACTCCAAATGCAATGGTTTGGTGGCCACAATGGGTGCATCCAAAAGCTTCAGCAAATTTTGTATGTTAATATATTTTTTGGGATCACCATTGATGTTCATGAAGGCCTTGAACAAATTATCCGGTAGACCACGAGCCTTAATATATAACTGTAAACATAAAAAGAGATTTAATCTGGATGTACATTATTTTATGTCTCTTGCAAAACCTACCGCCATTTGTCCAGTAAATTTACCCAAAGCTTCGGTATCAAATTGCAAATAAGCCACCACAGGTAAATCCGATTTAGGATCACCCACCAAAAATGCCTGTAGCATAGCACCAATACCGAATTTCGAATCACGATAATCGAAAATATAATTTCCGGTTACCCAATAACGGGGTTCGGGTTTTTGTGGTAAGTGGCGATGCATATAGGAAAGTAAACGTCTCCTAAAAGAGGAATTGAAATTATTCTTTGTAATTAATGTAATACGTTGGGCGCCATTCTTGTTCTTACAAATTCTGATAGCAGGGATATGTGGTCTCTGAAATACTTGTTATGGTCGTCCTATAGTAATTTATCATATGAGGATCGGTTTCACTTTGTATAATACGATGAATACTTATTAAACGGGCAGCCGTTGGATTGGAGATCAATAGCAAGGTTACAGCGGCCACACGCAGTTCCAAACTGGCATTGCGAGACTCGAAAATGGGCCAATAGATTTCATAGATCTGAAATAAAGAAATTAAATGAAAATTTTGAATAGAATGTAGATATTTTTAAAATAGAAGTAGAGAGGGCAAGCTAAAAATATGGTCATAATATCAGGTCACGTAGAAGGCGAATCTATATAAAAATACAACTCTGCACCCTCAGATTGGGTCAGACAGTCTTTTAGAAATGAGTTGAAGGTCGGAGAGTAGGGAGACTCGTTCATGGAAGAGCCTAAATCCAGGGAGCTCTTCGTGGAGGAGCTGAAGGGTTAGAGAATCTTAATATAATACCTGAAGGAAGCTACCAACTAGGTCTTTTAAAGAAGAGCTGAGATCTCAGGGAGTCTAAATGGTCAAGGAGTCGTTCAAAACCCTTCCTAGAACCAGGGAGTTTTTTCTAGGAATGCTGAATGTTTAGAAAATCTTTATAGAAGACCCTAAGGATAAAAAAATACAAAGGTGCGCCTTTAGACAAACGCAGACAGTCTTTTACAGAAAAGCTGAAAGGTCCAGATGGGCTGAAGGGACCTAGACTCAGGATGCTTTTCCTCGGGAAACAGAAGGATTAGAAAATCTTTATAGAAGACCCGAAGGATCACAAATACAAAGGAGAGCCTTTAGAGTGAGTCAGATACTCTTTTTCAAAAGAGCTGAAAGGGCAGGAAGTCGTTACAGACGGGCTGAAGGGTTAAGGAGTAATTCATACCACAGCATAGAGCGAGAGAGTTTTTTCTCGGGAGCTGATAGACTAGGTTGTTTTTATAAAGGAGTTAAATACACCCTGAACACTTACAGGAGATATGGAGAGCCAAAAAGTCTACGGAGGCCATATAGATGAACTGAAGAACCTGCGCACCTTTGTAGACGAACTTAATGGGTTTCTGATCTAGGATAAAGGAGTTAAATACAGAACACTTAAGAGATATGCAAAAAAGTCTCCGGAGGCTATATAGATGAACTGAAGAACCTGCGCACCTTTGTATACGAACTTAAGAGTTTTCTTCGGATGAACTGAAGGTGTAGGGAAACTTCCATATATGAATTTTATACCTAGGAACCTTTTATTGACTAGATGAAGGCAAAGGGAGTCATTCATAGACGAGCTGTAAAACTGTGGAATCTTTCTAAAGAATCTGGAGGATCATATAAACCTTCAAAAGCGAGCTGAAGGATTAGGGAACTATATGTAGGGTCAGGGCACGTTCATTGGGGAGCCGCAGCATTTGGGAGACTACTACGACGGATCTGTAAGGCTATAGAATATTTTTAGGTCAGCGGAAGAGCCAGAAAATCCTTATTGAAGGTTCAAGTAGTCTTTCCTATATGAATTGAAGGTCTAAATCCATCTTCGTAAACGAAATGAAGGATGAGGGAGCCATTATATTCAAGCTGTAGAGCCATGGAGTCCACTATGATACGATGAACGGCCAGAATGCATAGACAAACCATCTGAATGTTCCAATGAGACGCCTATGATTTAACAGGGTTTATAAACGAGCAGAACAGGAACTCTACATTATATGTCGGATTTTACAGAATAACTTATTCAGATAGAAGGTCTGTCATATATATTCTATGGGAAAATTATCTTCAAAACATATAAGACCTCCTCTTCTATGCGATTATATTTCTATTGATAAAACATCCTTTCTGAACCTTAGTTATGATAACGATTTTACTTACCCTTTCCGCACGATTGGGCGCCAACGACAGTGTTGTCCATGCTGCCAAAAATTTAATATCCTGATTCTCCTCGCCATTACTAACGATAGGATCCAAATAATTTGCCACATTGCCAACTTGGAGATTACTTAGACCTTGCAAATATAACATTTTGGAGTCGTAGTCGCGTGAACCTGAAATCGCGAATAACCCAGATAATTATCAACTCCGCAAAAAAGTAAAATAAACTGCCAACTTACTTAAATACAAATTAAAATACTTTTGGACATAATCTTCGAAAATATCACGATTTATGGCCCCGGCAATGTGTACATTATAGACCAAAGTGGCAAAACTTAAAATTGCCGCCTGCCGAACATCAGGACGATCGGGACCGAGCGTAAGGAATACTTCACATTCCTTAACCAATTCGTGAGATAATTCAAATATGTGAAAGGGCATTGAGACCAGTAACTGTACAGCAATGGTAGATTTTGTTTCTTTTTCCACAATCAAATATCGGGTCAAAAATACCGAAGCCTTGGTACCAATACGTGGTATTATTTCATGGAAGATATTGCGAATTGTTTCCTGACGATATGACGTACCAATATCAACTTCGGTATATAATTTTTTCAACGATTCAAAATCCATTTCGGTAAGTAGACGTATAACATCTGATACGGTGGCATCGTAGGGTTCGGTAAATTTATAATTTGAAATTTCAAGACCTTCAGCTAAATTGTCGAGAAGTCGTGAAGCGGTTTTGATAAGGGTTTCCTGTTGTTGGGGATTACGTCCTCCGGTGGGATCGTTCAGTTCGATGGGCAGCAGTTGTAGGCCAGTTTCAACGGAACTCATGGAAGTTTCAACATCGATGGGATTGTCGATTGTGGTTTCGTTGAGGAAATTTAAAAGTAATCTGAAACAAGAGGAGGAGATTAAAATATTGAAGAGGTATGCAAATTATGGACCAATAATTTTAACTAAATTTATGTAGAAGAATCAGATTTAAACTTCTCCGATGCTGCAGTTAAAGTCAGATCAAAAAATACATTTTTCATAAGTTTTGGGGTCTTTACAACGTAAATACAACACTGTATCGCATTGCCAAATTATGTATATTCCAAAATGTTGGCAATACTGACAAGTGCCCAAATGATTGCCAACGGTGAACTCCCCTAATACTCACTCTGAATTAATAAACTGAGCTTCACCGGTCGATTCGAATGTGTGAATCAGCGTCGAACCCTTCACATGAGCCATACTCAAAAAATATCCCGTCTCTGGATGAGGCAACATACCAAATATGGCCTCATTACCGCTAATCACATTTTGTTGAAAATCAAATTTACAAGTATTGGTCGGAACATTACTGCGGGTAATGTGTATCGATTCGGCATAGGGTTTACAGGTGCTCAACTCGGGCGTTTTACGAATTGAAATGTAATTTGTTTTATTCGATATAAAATATTCCGTTAGACATTCACCATGGATACCCATCTGAAAAATAAACAACTTTTTTAGTAAGGTTTTTAGGTTATGGAGAATTATACTTACCTCATCTACCACAAATGCGCCAGTCTTTTTGGTCTGAAATTGTATCATCGAGGCTATGGCTCGTTTGAAATTTGTCGACCAAATCGGATCACCTTCCTTGAAGACCAAATGTTTGATGGTACCCTCAGGGGTGAGGGCAATTTTGAAGGGTTTATATGTCGGATACATTTCTTTGTTTTGCAGGAACTTTTCACCGGAATTGTTAAGGGTGACATCGTCAATAACGAGCTGAAAGAGAGAAGATTTAATTAGAAATACTAAGAAGGGGAATATAAAAAACTGAGGGCCAGACAAAGAAAGGAAGTCCTCAGGGGCAAAATACTATTATGGACTGGAAGAAGTATTTTGCAGAAGATTCCTAGGTCCTCCGCCAACGAAGGTGACAACGAAATCTTTTCACACGATTCTAAGTATCAGGTAGTATAAATATACTACTTCAAAGGTCAGTTTATCTACACAGACAAGCCTGGGGTCTATGAAGTCTCGAGGAGGGGTTAGACATCTTGTTACAGATGATCGAAATCTATATAGGTACACATATTCTCTGAGAATTTAACTAAAGTGCCTGAGAGTCTGTGTACACGTCTGTGTTAGATGAGTTGAGTGATAACGGAGTATCTTCAGGATGAGCTGTAGCTTCAGGGATTCTACCGTAGACTAGCTGATGGACTAGAGGAGTCATCACGAAGGCGGAAATTAATAGATAGAAAGTCTAAGGAGTCTATATACGTGCCGAAATGACATTTTTTTTCAATTATTAAAGGAGAACTAATATAGAGTAACTACAGATGGGCAATAAATAGTGTCTTTTATAGCAGCTAGCTCCTGTAGATGCGTTTAATACTCTTCTGAAGCAAGTCTCTATAAAAGACCTAAAGTGTTTATATACGATAAAGACGATCTGAAGATCAGACAGTCTATCATAGACAACCTGAAAGAAAGAGCTGAAGGCCAGTGAGCCTTTTTATAATAGCTGAATGGAGTCTCTATAGGCTATATGAGGGAATTTTGTAAAGATGGCGTGTAAGGAGTCTCTCTAAATAACCTTAGGGGAAGACGGATTGAGGCCGCAGACTCAAGACCATTTAATCAAGGATTCGTAATAGATGGCGCCCAACGTAGGGCTTGAATGAGGCTGAATGGAGGTGACGACGAAACGGGGAATATTTTCACGATTCTAAGTATCTGGTTGTATAAATATACTACTTCAAAGGCCAGCGTGTCTACACAGACAAGCCTGGGGTCTATGAAAACTCGAAGGTTACAGATGATCGAAGTCTATATAGGTATACATATTCTTTGAGAATTTAACTAAAGTGCCTGAGAGTCTGTGTACACGTTCTGAAGGGCCGGATGGTCATTCTTAGATGAGATGAGTGATAACGGAGTATCTTCAGGATGAGCTGTAGCTTCAGGGATTCTACCATAGATTAGCTGATGTACTAGAGGAGTCATTACGAAGGCGGAAATGAATAGATAGAAAGTCTAAGGAGTCTATATACGAGCTGAAATGACAATTTTTTTCCAATTATTAAAGGAGAACTAATATAGAGTATCTACAGATGGGCAATAAAGAGTGTCTTTTATAGCCCCTGTAGATGCGTTTAATACTCTTCTGAAGCAAATCTCTATAAAAGACCTAAAGTGTTTATATACGATAAAGACGATCTGGAGATCAGACAGTCTATCATAGACAACCTGAATAAAACCCTTTCAGAGAAGATCTGAAGGCCTTTATATAATAGCTGAATGGAGTCTCGACCCAACAAGGATTCGTAATAGATGGCGCCCAACGTCGGGCCTTAACCCAAACCATGAGATTAAGAGCCTTATGATCTAACGACTAAGCTAGCCGGTTGGGTAATCACACTGCAGGTGTAATCGATATAACAAGCTGAAGTTCAGGGATTAGACGATTTGAAAGGCCAGGATTTTTTCATACAAGAGCTGTAGGCCAGGGAATCTTTAAAGAATAGCTGAAGGGAGTCTCAATATGCGATCTGAGATGATTTTAGTTTCTGCAGACGACCTGAGGGGAGCACGGATTGATGACCGTAGATCCAAGTCCGCTAACTAGCCGAAAGTTTTCCTCTAGTGCCCCAAAACAGAGAATCGTAACAGATGGCGACCAACATGGACCGACGACCCTGAAATTAAGAGTCTCATGCTCTAACTACCAGCTAATATTGTGTAGGGGTTTTCCTACTCGCCATGCCTCAGTCTATCTACATATATATATGTATAATATCTTTATCATTTCTCAATTTTAATTCATTGACGACATTGCATTCTTTTTTTGTCACTTGTACATCTATTTGAATACGTTGTGATTTCTCTGAATACTCTGAACACATCGATATGTGTTGTTCAGTTCAGTTGTTTTAGGGCCAACAGGTCGCAATGAAAAATCACAGAAGCAGAAAAAATTGTATTAATTGATTTCAATTGAAATTGGCAAATGAATTGACACATTCGAACTTTTGTATACGTGTGTAAACAAGGAACGTGAGATAAAAGCAAAAGAATACTATAAATGTTGCGGTTCATGCGCCGGCATTAGATTAAGGTGTTAAATTTGAAAAACGTTTAAAAAACAGAAATAATTATATTTTATTACTTACCGCTGCCGCCAATGTACTATTGTTTTGCCTCTGTAATGTTAATTTACCCCTCACTATCCAGCCAGATGTTGGTGGTGCTGGCAGTTCTTCATCCTGTGGCGCTTTGGCGCCAACTTGTACTGTACCCACATATTCGTATAACATTTGTTTGTTAATTCCAATAATATTGAAGGCATGATGCGAGGCCGGAAATATTAGAAATAAATCTGAAAAAAAGGTTAGAGAAAATATTGAGATTAGATTCAAATGTTTATTTGGGAATATGAAGTATTAAATTTAAAATATCAAATATGGATTAGGTAAATGTTGAAAATATTCCTCTATGTTTGTGTAAATGAACCTATGTTTTTTAATCGGCAAGTAACTACTATTTTATTTGCTTATATAAATTTTTAACTATTATTGAAATTGTTTTTAGATAGAAGTTCTATTATAATCATTCTGTTGAACACAAAATATTCTTATGATAACCCTGTGCAAAAACGATCAGGTCAAAGAGCGGCGAAGCACCTCAAACGATGATCAAAGCAGGACTAAGGCCAGGAAGATTCTGCTATGCATTTGGTGGGACTGGAAGAGGGTTATTTATTATGAGTTGCTTCCATCTTGTCATACGCTAAATTGTGATTTCTACTGTCAGCAACTGGTCTGTTTGAAGATAACAATTGACCAGAAACGGCCAGAATTGACCAAAAGGAGAGGTGTAGTGTTCCACCAGGACGACGCTAGGCCACACACATCTACAGTGACTCGCAAGAAACTTCAAGAGCTTGGTTGGGAAGTTTTAATGTATCCGCCATACAGTCCGGACTTGGCACCAAGCGATTATCATTTTTTTTCTTGCATTGCAAAATTTCATTAATAATACAAAATTGGTATCTAGGGAGGATTGTGAAAAACGACTACTAGAGTTGTTTGCAAATGGAGAATACGACATCTTTTAGAGAGACATTATGCGGTTACCTTTAAAATGGCAACATATTATACAACAAAACTTGCATATTTGGCCCAAGTCGGACATTCCGAAGCATGTTAAATAAAAAATAAACCTCTTTAGTGTTGAAAATTTGACTGAATATATTTTATATAAGTAAAAAATTGTCAGCCGGTTTTACCGACAGAAATATACCCTCGGGTTTTGACACACAAAAATGTGCTATATCGGTATATTGGTTTTGGTCTCCATGTTTCTTTGGGCCAAATCCGTTTGGGCCAAATCCGATTTCATCCAAACTTTGCACATTGTAATATTTCTTCCAAACTAAAATCAAGTTCCCACACAATGCAATATTCCATAGAAGGAAGAAGGGATCGCGGACCCAAAACCACTAACCTGCGGAAACGAACCCTCTAAAAAAGGATTTATTACAGATGTCGCCCAACGTGTGGCGCGAACCTACGACCCGAAATTAAGAGTCTCATGCTATTAAGACTGAATAAATGGGAATATCGGTCTACTCCTTCTGGTACCTCCCGCACAATGTAATATTCCGTTTCCGGCAATTTGGTGTCAATTTACAAATGTCTATCCGTCAGTCTGTCTAATAATTCTCGAAGAGGGTAACCGATTTCATTCTACCATTGCACATTGTAATATTTCTTCCAAACTAAAATCAAGTTCGTAAATGGTATCCAGCGTATATGGTATCATGTTCGTAAATGGTATCCACCGATCCACTAAAGGGAAGAAGGGATCGTAGACCCAAAACCACTAACCTGCGGAAACGAACCCTCTAAAAAGGGATTTATTACAGATGGCGCCCAACGTGTAGAGCGAACCCACGACCCCGAAATTAAGAGTCTCATGTTTTAAAGACTGAGCCACGATCGTCGAAGAAATGGGAATATCGGTCTACTCCTTCTGGTACCTCCCCTCGTAGACCCAAAACCACTAACCTGACGAAAATTACTACACAACAGTGATCCATAAAAAGTGGCCACCAACGTCTGGCCTGAACACATGACCTAGCATTAAAGAGTCTCCTGCTCTAACGACTTTGTTACGATCTTAGAAGAAATGGAAATATTGGTACACACATTCTGCTACCTACCACACAATGTAATATTCCATGAAGAGAATCCTAAAATCCCAAAACCACTAACCTACCGAAAGGTACCCTCTAAACAGGTGGCGCCCAATGTCTGGTCCGAAACCACGACCCCAACGTTAAGAATCTCATGCTCTAACAACTGAGCTACGATCGTCGAAGAAATGGGAATATCGCTCTACTCTTTCACGCAATGAGATATTTCATGAAGGGGAGACGGATTGAGGATCGTAGACCAAAACCACTAATATGCCGAACTGCACTCTCTAGCGCAGTTAAACATGTATTCGTAATAGATGGCACCAAACGTGGGGCCCGTCAACTCATTTTGGTACCTCCCACAGGAAATAATTACCAATAATAGTAATAATAATAATTATTATTATAATAATTATACGTGGGCTGTTCGTAAAGTTCTTTGCCTAGCACAGAAAGCGCGGTTTAAACAGAAAAAAATTAAGTGTTTGAAAACTTTCATCTCTGTTATGAACAATTCAAGTAAATTGACCACTTTGACAGTTAATCAAGACATCAGCTGCTTTAAATGGACTACCTATTCATTGTGCCATGAAACAGACGTTCCAAAAAGACGCATTCGCAATTTTTTACAATGGAAAAATTAGAAATGTTTGTTTTCATTGTAAAAAATTGCGGATGCGTCTTTTTTGAACACATGCTCTTATATGAAGGAGTTGCCACATCGAAACAAAATTTAACATGTGTTCATGGGCAGTTCGAACTGTCCTTGTAATAATAATAAAGTATGCTAATAGTAATAATAAAAATATAAATAATAATTATAATGATAACAATAATAATAAAAATAATAACAATGGAGTTTGGAAATATATATTTGAGTATAGAAACATATACAAGAGATTGTTTTTTTTTTCAACAGAAAAATAGAGTATTTATAAAGTAAAATTATTATATTTTTAAGTTCTTATACAAATGTTATAATTTTTTTCATTTTTTTAAAATATCATTATCTGTGCAATAAATAATTGTTTATAATTTAAAATCCTGTTAATAAATATATTTTTTATATACACATATTTTTATATTTCAATAAATTATGAAAATAAATATTTGGAAAATAATTTACAACAACAAATAGTTTTACAAAATCCCCTCAAATATTGGGGTAGGCCATTGACATTTTTGAGAACTGGACGTTAACATAAAGCAAACGCTTATTTTCTAATTTAAATACAAACCAGTAAGGAAAGTAGTAGAGTCGGGCGGGGCCGACTTTATGATACCCTTCACCACTTTGGGTATATTCAACAGATGAATGCCAACAGACGTCGACTTTTGCAACCTATACTAAATTTTTTATTTGTTCAGATATAGGGTTGCTTCTTACAATGGGACAAAATTACCTAAAATCGGGTGATTTCAAGACTTTAAAATCGGGTGATTTCAAGACTTTCTACATTTCAAAACTATAGTTCGTTGTGGAAAATTTGTGACAATTTCGTGTAAAATCGGATGAAAATATATATGTAGAAGCTATATCAAAATCTGAATCTGTTTCAATGAGAATAGCAGAGGTTAACTTATATTAACTACTGTTTATTGTAAAAAATTGTGTGGCAATCTGACAAACTGTAAGTCTTTAGTGCACAATTTACATAAAAACGGAAGAAAAAATATATGGAGTTATATATTAATATGAACCGATTTTCAGGAAACTTTACACACATCACTCCAGACTCATTTCAGTACAATATGCCAAATTTTGTGCAAATCGATATATGTATAGGGACTTTGGTACACCATTTACATTAAATCAGACGAAACTTTATATAGGAGCTATATGTAAATCCAAATCGATTTTCACGAAACTTAACGTGCAGTAAGTACGCTATGCCCGAGATTTGGCATAGTAAGTACTCTATGCCAAAATCAAAAGATATATAGGGACTTTGGTACACCATTTACCTTAAATCGGACGAATATATATATTGGGATATATCTAAATCTGAACCTATTTTCAGGAAACTTAACACATATCATTTTAGACATAATACATTTCGTTATGCCAAATTTCGGGCAAATCAAAAGATATATAGGGACTTTGGTACACCATTTACCTTAAATCGGACGAATATATATATGAGAGCTATATCTAAATTTGAACAGATTTTCAGGAAACTTAACACACATCATTCTAGACCTACTTCATTACGCTATGCCAAATTTCGTGCAAATCGAATGATATATAGGGACTTCGGTACACCATTTATCTTAAATCGGACGAAGATATATATGGGAGCTATATCTAAATCTGAACCGATTTTCAGGAAACTTTACGCTGTGTCAAATTTCGTGCAAATCGAAGGATATATAGGGACTTTCGTGCACTATTTACCTTAAATCGGACGAAAATATATATAGGAGCTATATCTAAATCTGAACCGATTTTTCCCAATTTCAATAGGGTTCGTCCTTGGGCCAATTAAGTGATCTGTGCCAAATTTCAACCAAATCTGATCATAAATGCGACCTGTACTTTGTTAACAAAAATACATGGACTAACGGACGGACATGCATAAATCGACTCAGAAAGTGATTCTATGCATATTCTCAAATAGAACCATGGGTCTATCTCGACTTTTTTTGCCTGTTACAAACATATGCACAAAGACATAATACCCTGTAATACAGTGTGGTACAGGGTATTATGAGAGGGAGAATGTATATATATATATATATATATATTTATATATTTTATTGAGGCTGAAAGAATATTGAAGTAGAATATTAAAAAACTAAAATACATAGATACTTATGTTTAATTCGAGAATAAAGAAAATAAATTTTAAATCGATTAAACTTCCCCTCATGTATTTGGGAATATTATTAAAAAAATATATTTTTGTTGTAATAATTTGTTTTTTTAATAAAGAACCCTTTTAAAAATAACCCTATAAATTCACTTTGCATATTGGGCAGTCTTCTTTCAAAATACAAGTTGTGTTCGTTTTCCAAATCATTTAAAAAAAATATATATACTTTGAATTATAAGTATATAATTAACTTTCACAATGTCTTCAACAAAAGGGAGTGATTGAAGAGAACAAGATTTTTCTCCGGAATTTAATTCCGTTAAAAATATAAAAAAATAAAAAGTCTTTTACGTATTTTTTAACAAGAGTTCTAATTTTAATTTTTACTTTTCATGTTTTGAACTGATTAAGAAAATTTAATTCATAAAATTTGCAAATTAATCATTTTTAATCCCAACAAAATTTTATGAATCGAATGAAAGTACTTTTAAATATTTAACCTTGGATGCACATAATTATATTTCTTTTTTGCTTGACATAACATACATATTTTTTTCAATCATAAACAATGTGATTGTTTTTTATTTATTTTTTTTTTTTTTTTTTGCAAAACATATCAACATTTTGTATGCCGCAGCACTTGATTTCCTCTGAAATTCAGACAATCAAATTCACAAAAAAAAAACGAAACTTTATCAACGCAAAAATCCCGAGCAGAAAAGACATGCGAAGAAGGCCAGACGGACACAGGGGGCCGGTTGGCAATAATTTCTTGGTAATGTGATTTAAAAAAAATATAGAAATTAAATTAAATAATTCACTCAGAACAATTACGTCATTTATGGATTTTTTTAAATACAATATCATTTTTAATTTAAATAAAAAATGAATTTATTACATACACACTAACACCGAGCACTTTAAGCGCCTCATTTTTGTTGTAGTTGTTGTATTCTGTTAAGGGCCACAGTAATTTTGTCACTCCACTATTCCAGAGATGTTTCGTATTCGTTTTAATTTCCAACACCAAGAGTTTTAGAACGGTCGTTGCACTTTTATCTTTGGTTCTGATTTAGATAGATGCGGATTTGTTGTTGTTGTTATTATTATTTAAATATTGCGGGATCGCTTAATTGTAATACGAAGGGAGATAAGATCATCAACCCCTCGTCTGTTTGTTTATTTGTGAGATTTTTCTTATGAATTGTAGGGTTTTTCCTTTTTTCACATCATATTTCTTTTCTTTGGTTTTTCAATTTAATTTTCAAAAAATGTGTACGCCAAAATTTTGTTTGTGATTATTTTTTGGTCGATTTTTATTTAACCAAAGGTCTTCCAGCACAATTATTGGATTTGCTTGCTGGTGATAAAGTATTGAAACACAAATACAACACACACAGCCACAAATTTAATTCAAATCGCGCTTTCTTTCCGCCACACAAGTCGTCGGAATGTTATTTGCTCGATTGTCCGTTACTCTCGCGTTTCAAACTGCTACTGATCTTGAAAACTGGCAAAGTTTTGTTTTAAGATTTAAGATTGATTCTTTGAGGCTGTTGTCGTTGTCGGAGTAGCCGTCATCGTCGTCACTTTACTATCAGTGAAATTTCAATTTTACTGACAGAAAAGAGAGGAAGAAATGTACAAAATCTCTTCTTCTTAAATTAAGAGAATCATAAAAAGGGATTTTTAATGTTTTTGCTCTTCCCGCACCCTCTCTACCTATGACAAGCGACAGGATTTCCATAACCATTACTTTGCAAAATTTCCCAACAATATTTTGCATTTCCCACACACATTGTAACTGACCAACCATTAACACTAATTGAACTTCAACGGTTCACGCACGCACACAGTCACACACACGCGTACACACATGAGTATGCCCACAAAGAAGACCACCAGACATTGACATAGCAGATCAGAAATAAAAAAGAGAAGGCTATTGGTTGGGAATTTCTGTTACAGCACATTGTCCATATGTTAGACGGCAGCATCATCATCATCAAGCACAGTGGTTTCCGGTGACTTACCTGATAGGAAGATTGGAAAAAATAAATGAAGAGCGAAATGAGAAGATTGCATGCCTTTCTTAATGTAATGATACTTTTTTCATTACTTTAAGAGACTTGTGGCCCGTTTTTAAAGAAAGCCTCCGAAGGTTATATCAAAATTTAATTCCAAAGACCGGCCATCTTTGGTCTGATACTAATTTTTAATCCCATCAAACCACTGTCCAACTTTGGTGGCATTTGCATGGATCCAGTGCTACTGTTCTGGGGTGATAATATTACAATTGAAATTATCAGCTTCAAGTTCATTGAAGATTAAGTAATAAAAAAAAGAAGTTACAGAATAGGCGAACAAAACTGAATTGAAAGACTTCATGGCTAATGGATGCATTCAAAATTTAACGAGGGATGCATAATAATTGGAGGTGATTATCATTGTCTTTATAAGAACGCCGTGAGCTTATAATCATTTTGAAAAAAAAAAGATAAATGCGTTGTTAGAGTGAAATTCTCTTTTCCTCATTATAATAAATATAATTCGTTTTTTTATTTGTTGTATAAAATACCACACCATTAAAATTTGTTCATTTATTACAAAGTCTTTTTCTTTATTTTATATTTTTGTTGTTTATACAAAAACTAATTCTAGTTTTTGTTATAATTGTTTTTTTTTTGGATTGCCTTTAATAATGCTACAATTTGTTTTTAAACACAGACATATTTTGTATAGCTTGTATATACGCTTGCTAAACAATTGATTTAATATTATTATAAAATACACGATTATAACAAATAATAGACTATACAATATAAAAAAATTTTTTATAAACCGATAAGCCTTCTTTTGAGTTTGCCACCAATTTAATTTTATTCGTTAAAACATTGGAACTTGATATAGAATGTGTGAAACCACTACACTAACAGCAAAATGAAAAACAAAGTTAAAATTGGGAAGGAGAAATAATATAACAGGTATCTTAGAGATAAGTCTTAGGGAGTTATAGTTTTCAATGGGCACCACCGCCACCATGAGCATGGCCAGCTCTTAAATAGGCACTTCCGGAAGGACCAGCGGCAGTAGCAGGACCTCCAGTTGCAGCATTTGTCGGAGGTTTGTCATTTGTATTGCCGCTACCAGAAATTTCCGATGTTGTTGAGGGAGCATCAAGATTCTTCAATTGTTGTTGCCACATTTCAGCATACAGGCCATCGTCACGTAACAGCAAATCTTCATGACGTCCCCGTTCGGCAATGACACCATCTTTGAGTACCAAAATTTCATCGGCATGAATAATTGTGGACAGCCTATGGGCAATGATGACAGTTGTACGATTGGAGCAAACTTTATGTAAAGCTGCTTGAATATTACGTTCGGTATTGGTATCTAAAGCGGAGGTAGCCTCATCGAGTAGCACTAAGACAGGAGCCTTGAGTAGGGTTCGAGCAATGGCAACACGTTGTTTTTCACCACCACTCAAGCGTAGACCACGTTCTCCCACCTTTGTTTCATAACGATCAGGGAAGCCCAAAATACGATCATGGATATCAGCCATACGTGCCGCCTCATACACCTCATCAGGCGAGGAGCCAATTTTACCGTATTCAATATTATAATAAATTGTATTGTTAAACAGTACCGTATCCTGAGGTACAACTCCAATGGCTTGTCGTAAACTTTGCTGGGTCACTAATTTTATATTTTGTCCATCAATCATAATCGAACCGGATTGTACATCATAGAAACGGAACAGCAAACGAACAATTGTACTTTTACCCGCCCCCGAGGGTCCAACAATGGCGACGGTTTTACCGGGAGGTACTGTAAAGCTGACGTTGCGTAAAACAATTTTCTCTGGGCTATAACCGAAACTAACATTTGCAAATTCAATGGCGCCACCTGCCGTCAGCAGAGGCGAACTACCGGGAGCATCAACGACCTCTTCTTCCTCTTTCAGAAGATCAAACATATTTTCCATATCAACAAAATTCTTTTGAATAGCCCGATAATAGGTGCCGAACCAATTTAATGGCATATACAAATCCATGAGATATGTGAAGAAGAGTACAAAATCACCCACTGTTAGAGTTTGATGATGCACCACCAAATAGACACATAACATTGAACCACACAGCAACCCGAGACAGAGTATAATATTTTGAGATGTATTTAAAATATTCAACGTCAATAGCGAAAGGAATTCCTCTTTCTGAAAAGATTACATATGGATATATAGAAATAATTTTCTAGGGGTTGGCGATGGAATTCAAAAAACATACCTGATATTTCTTGATGGCCTCACGATAGGCATTCACTTCATACTCTTCGGCACCATAATATTTAACAGTCTCAAAGTTCAGCAGAGAATCTACACTGCGAGCACGTTGTTCATTGTCGGCCTGATTCATACGTCTCTGGAATTGGGTACGCCATTCGGTAACCAAAATTGTGGCCACTAAAAAGAATGTATAAGGAAAAAAAATATATTTATTTATAACATCCACGTATAATAGACAGATTGAAAAAAAATATTAAATCAAATACAAAATATAAATTACCTAAAAAAATTAAAATATTGAAAATATTTTAAAAAAAAATCTACGCCCTATAGACAGCTTAAAACTACTATTTTAAAAAAATCTAACCCTTGTCTAAAAATAAAGTTCTTTAAGAATATTAACAAAAAAAATTCACGTATTATAGAAATCTTTATTTTTTTTAAAGCCACATCTTAAGAAAATGTTGAAAAATATTCTTAAAAAAACACGCATTATGGAGGTCTTGGAAAATATTCTTTAAAAAATCCACGCCTTATAGAGGTCTTGGAAAATATTCTTTAAAAAATCCACGCCTTATGGAGGTCTTGAAAAATATTCATAAAAAATCCACGCCTTATGGAGGTCTTGAAAAATATTCATAAAAAATCCACGCCTTATGGAGGTCTTGAAAACTATTCATTAAAAAATCCACGCCTTATGGAGGTCTTGAAAACTATTCATTAAAAAATCCACGCCTTATGGAGGTCTTAAAAACTATTCATTAAAAATCCATGCCTTATGGAGGTCTTGAAAACTATACATTAAAAAATCCACGCCTTATGGAGGTCTTGAAAACTATTCATAAAAAATCCACGCCTTATGGAGGTCTTGAAAAATATTCATTAAAAAATCCACGCCTTATGGAGGTCTTGAAAAATATTCATTAAAAAATCCACGCCTTATGGAGGTCTTGAAAAATATTCATTAAAAAATCCACGCCTTATGGAGGTCTATATTAAAAAATCCACGCCTTACGAAGGTCATAAACAATCTACGCCTTGAATAAATATTTAAAAAAATGAATGTTTTTGGAAAAAATCAAACCCATACTTACATATATACAAGAACATGGTGAGAAACACGATTAAACCAAACCACCAATTGAAAGCATAAATAAAATAGACAACAGCAACAATTAAATCAACAATTGTAGGCGTAATCGAGAAGATAATGTAATTCAACAGATTGTTTATCGAATCTGTGCCACGATCCATTACACGCAAAACTTCACCGGTCTTACGTTGTAGATGCCAACGCAACGACAGACGATGCAAATGATGGAAAAGATCCACTTCGATTTCACGCGTTGTATACTGTTGTACTTTAATCCACAAGAATGAACGTAGATTATTGAAAAGGCCCATTGTGCCGGTACCACCACCTTGGAGAAATGACAGAGCCACATAGATTAAGACAAAATCCCAACGAAATACTATGGGCTCAATAGTTAAACTGTCAACTGCAAATAAAAAAAGGAATTATTTTTTTTAAATTTCTCAATTAATGTGGCATGTATGTAATCCAGAACTTACCCAACTTTTTACGATATATGGGTAAATATAATTTAATAACACGTCCTGCAGCCAATAACAAAATACATATTAACACAGTAATTTGCAAAACAACATCTCTTTTTGGCCATAAATAGGGGAAAAGTTTACGTAGCTTCTTGAAGGCATTTCTAAAAGCCGAACCGGTATTGAGATTTGCTGTGGATTCTGATTGTTGAGTTTCTTCATCTAAGCGTTGATGGGCATTATAGGGGTATGTTATGCCCGGTGCCTTGAGACCCAATACAAAGATTAACAGCGAACAAACATAGCGGGTAACAAATAGACCCATTTCAACTTTATCTTTGTTTCTAAAACATAAAAATAATCAATTATTTAATAAAAATCAAAAAATTGGAATCTTTGAGGCACTTACGTTTTAAGATTAAACCACCAATCTTCATGGCGCAAATTAATAAACGCCAGTGATTCATTGATAAAAGCCAAGGTCCAGAAAAGTAGTAACACCAATCCATGACCTCTGGTGGGCACTGATGGCAATTGATATAATCTTTCTTTGATTACCAAACACATAGACAATGGATAGGCCACACAAATGAGGCAGGTGGCGAGTATCTATGAAATCAAAAAATAATTACATTTTTAAATCAAAAAGCGTTATATTGTGTTCCCTGAATTCCTTACCATATAACCATATACGGCACTTCCCTCATAGATTCTTGCATTCAATAAAAATCGCACCAGCTGCAATGCTGGAAAGAACGCCAGTAGAAACAATTGCAATCCATATAACCGGGATTTGGAAATTAATGTGGGATCAGTAATTCGTGTGGCATATTTACGATACATCATCAGTTGTATCAGACCAAACAGAATCATGAAACCGCCACATACAGACCAACCCACCGTATCCATAAAACAATGTGATATGCCATGATCAATCCACACCTGGGATAGGGTAACATTAGGCGGACAATACAACATTTTGGAGGAGTGTGGTTATGTACTGCCACGGCGTATATCTGAAACAAAAGAAGTGAGTTATATTTTTTGATACAATAACAATAATACAGAAGAATTTGTATGCAGAAATATTTTGAAAATAAATTATTTTCAAGGAGAAAGAATTTAGAGATAAGATTCTCCTTTTGCTGAAAATTTGCCAGAGAAAAAACATTTCCAGAAAAAAAAAATCAATATCCAATAGTATATGGAATACCCCTGAGCCTTTAGCTCGTATATAGAACACTAACGACCCTTCATATGGCCTTTAGCTTTATGAAAGGCTCTCTAACTTTTAGTTCATCAATAAAATAGTCCATGTCTTTAAAGGCTCCCTTTACAAAGCTTTAAACACTACATTGAAATCAATGAATTAGGCTCACTTAACAGAACTTTAAAAACTAATTTGAAAGTAATGAATTAAGGTCGTCTAAGAATTACTTATGAAGGTTAACTGGACTTTCACCTCTTCTATAAATGGTTCTCCGGATTATAAACATAGCAACAATCTTCTATATAAACATTAAAAAAAACAAGTCTTCAATGAAGGATCAACTGACTCCTGTTCGGACATAATATCCTAACTACGAAGCGAAAGCTAGCGCTCCTATTATCACTATCTGTACGTAAAACCATGTCGAACATTCAATACGCGACATCCTGACAACGAAGCGAAAGCTAGCGCTCTTATTGGCACTATCATTACGTAACACCCAGTCGAACAATCAATACACGACATCCTGACAACGAAGCGAATGCATAACATATAATATCCTTCTTCTATATATCGTTTCTGTTTTGGACAATGTGCATCATTCTTTCGAAGAATTGTTGTAGTAGAAGTTTATATGAGTGCTGTTTTTCATTTGATTCAGTCAGGTTCTGTCTCCAAGTTAAGAAACGCAGCTACATCCACTGGCTGCAACCACAGATATACAGGAGTAAATGGGGTAGATTTGGCAGGGCTATTGAATAAGTGCAGTGTGGCATGAGGGCCCGTAGCATATGTTAGGCAGACATTCTGCACCTGGTCATCAATCCATGCCTTGCACGAATTGAGACGACTGGACAGCTGATGTTCTTCAGTTGCGATGGATGGGGGTGAGCTCCGAGGACGGCATTCATTCTGTACACATTCAGCGCTGCGGCATCTGCATCAGTATGAATGCTATTCAGACCTGTTCAATAGGCAACTTGATCTAGAGGCTTTCTTTTATAAATACCCTTTCACGATGGACTGCATCTAGTCAGACCATCTGCCATTCACTTCTGTCAAATCGAATTAGTAGGCAATCGTACACTTCAGCAGTTTTATGAAAGATTCTCTGGTTTTCAAATGCTTATTTGAAAGACATTCTACATCTTAGTAGTGAGAGACTTCGAGACGATACGAAGCGAATGCTGAAGTGTATTTTGTTCCTGTTCGGCTAATGGGTATGTGCTATCCAATCTACGAAGCGATTGTTGAAACGTATTTCGCTTCTGTGCGAACCATCTCTACGTCGCATACTGACAAAGAAGCGAATGCTGAAGTGCTTCTGTTTTGGCCAAATTTGTATGTATCATCCTTTCGACGAGTAAAGTGCTTCGCGATATTATGTAGCTTTTTAATTCTTCTATTTTATAAAGATATCCTTCTTATTTGGTATTAGATACGAACACGTTCACGCTGGCTTTCAGATATGCACCATATGATCTATATAACAGCACGGGTAGTATCAGCGTCTTGTAAAGTGTGAGTTTTGTCTGGCGGGAGGTGGCCTTGTTTCTAAACTGCTTACTTAGACCATAGTAGCATCTGTTAGCCATCAAAATCCTTTTCCGAATTTCAAAACTGATGTCATTCGTTTTATTTATGGCGGTACCAAGATATATAAAATCTTTAACTATCTCGAAGCTGTAGTTCTCAGTTGGTCCGAGTCAGAGTGTCATTTCTGTTCACCTTTTCGTCTCGTATGACCCTTTTCCACCAGGATGTTAAAAAAATTTACCTTCATACAATAAAATACTATAAAGACTCCCATGATTTTATCTATAAATACTACCTTCACCCGTACGTCAATAATGATTCGCATGAGCTTCTATATAAAGACACCCTTCAGTTCGTTCATGAACGAATTACTTCAGCTCGTCTATAAATGTTCCTTTCCGCTTGGCTACAGAGACTGCCTCCAGCTCGTCTGTAGACTCCCTTCTTCATGTGGACTATAAAGACTTCTGCCTTTCAGCTCGTCTATAAAGACTCCCTTCAACTCGTCTATAAAGAATGCCTTCAACTCGTATATAAAGACTCCCTTCCGCTCGTTTATAAAAACTCTCTTCCGCTCGTCTATAAAGACTCCCTTCAGCTCGTCTATAAAGACTCCCTTCAGCTCGTCTATAAGGACTCCCTTCAGCTCGTCTATAAAGACTCCCTTCCGCTCGTCTATAAAGACTCCCTTCCGCTCGTCTATAAAGACTCCCTTCCGCTCGTCTATAAAGACTCCCTTCCGCACGTCTATAAAGACTCCCTTCCACTCGTCTATAAAGACTCCCTTCCACTCGTCTATAAAGACTCCCTTCCACTCGTCTATAAAGACTCCCTTCCACTCGTCTATAAAGACTCCCTTCCACTCGTCTATAAAGACTCCCTTCCACTCGTCTATAAAGACTCCCTTCCACTCGTCTATAAAGACTCCCTTCAGCTCGTCTATACAGATTCCCTTCAGCTCGTCTAAAAGTCGTATTCACCGGTAAATTTGTATTCAATCGATGTTTTGCATTGCCTTCCTTTTTCAAAAAAGTCCAAGTTCCACACGCACCAATAGCTGTGAATTTGAATCTACATTGTAGATATATATAAAATAAATGTGATTTTTTTTATAAAAAACATATATAATTACTCACAACAACAACAAAAACACACTCCCTAAAAACTATAACAGAGATAAGAAAATCAGAGCTCTTCAAAAAAAAACTCACTACGATTAATAATGTAGTCGACAAATCAGAAAACACTACTGGTTGCCCAAAAAAAAAACTGTCCAGTAATGAATTTCATTATCATTGAAATGCCTCCTCTCCTTAATCCACCAGACAAGACTCTAAATATGACACAGCACACGAACAACGACAGCAACAACAACACCACCATCCGCAATCAAAATGCAAGAACACAAATAAATAAATTTAATTAATTATGCAATTTTTTACCCTCTTACATCCGCCGCTCTTCCTTGGGTTGTGACGAAGTCAGCGGGTCTCTTTGACGACTGAAATCGATAATAACTTTTGCACTTCTATATTTTTGTTTTTTATTTTTATATTGGATATTGTTTGGAATTTCACAATTATTTTGCACTCATTTTATTTGGTACGAGGAAACAGCCCGCCCGTTCGACCGTCTGTGTTTCAATTAAAACAATTTTTTGTATTATATTCCGTATATTTTGACAAGGAACCAATGTTTGACCGTCTATTGGTGCGTTTCGAATGTTTTTGTTTTGAAATGATTGAAAAAAAAAAAACAAAAAGTCATTGATGGTTCAGTGTTGCCAGATGAGACAGTCCAATAACAGAGATGTCAACACAGCAGTTTTTGAACAGAAGAAAAAAAAACGCTGGAATAAAGAGAACGCTTAATTGAAAGTTTTAAAATTCACTACAAATACTGACGAATATCTAGTAGTCATAGATCGTAAAAATACCGAATTTTCGAGTTGGTGTAAATAACCGTTTTCAAACGCGATACACAAATTGTTGGAATGAAACAGTGAAGTATATAATAAAGCACTGCTTTGGGTCGGTATTCTTGTTCTATGAAATTTTGAAATGCAAAACCTGAAGGGGAAGACACATACGAAGATTTAAGGCATGACATGATAAGGTTGTAGTTGCAGCAGCCTTATTTGGTCTGTTCCCGTACTGCAATAATCTACTCGATTTTACTATTTTCTTCGATATCATAGAGGAAAAAAGTGTTATCGGAGTAAAAATAGTAGATTCTTGCAGTACGGGAACAGACCAATTGTTTTTATACAATAGGTTGAGGTGACAGCCTCTATCAAGAAAACGCAAGTTAAGGTGGTATTGTTTAGTGTAAAATAATAATGAAGTATGGCGCCCAAACTGAAATTTGACTCTGATATTTTTGTTTTTAAATTGAAACGATGCAAGTTAAAACTATGTGCTTCCTTCATTATAATGGAGAAAGAGTTCAAATGAAAAAAAAAATATATAAAAGAATACTATTTCATTTCAAGTTTTCATATCACAAGAATTGCGACAATACCTGCTTCTTCTCGCCTGTGAAAGATTCCCCGGACAGTCAGCTTGTCTATAAATACTCCATGGACCCTTAGCTCGTCTATAAAACACTACCGACCCTTCAACTTGTCCATGAAGGACTGTCTCGACATTCTGATCCTTCAACAGGTTTATGGAAAGTTCTCTGAACTATCAACTCTCAAAATTTTAAGGTTCATCTATGATAGACTTCCAGCATGCTTATAAAATATTTCCTGATCAGGTTGAATTTAGCATTACTCCTGACGCTTTAGCTCTTCTCTAAATATTCGCGATCTTCAGATCGTATTTGAAAGACTCCTTGTATTGTTGTGCGCGTTTTTAAATTAAATTTGTATGTTAATAAAAATTTATAAAGACCGGCAACTTAAAATTGCACACCCAATGCCAAAATGAAAAAGAATCGGATATGCAGGGCGACCATGATGCAATAATAAGGTGATGTATCAAAACAAAAACATTTTTTGTCTCGATTATCTGTCAAATTTTTCCTTATAATATTTCAATGTTAGCTCTGTGCATATGAATGCAGAAATGGTCGTTAAGAAAATTGCAGCTTCTGTGGGCGTCGAAGTCGATGACGAACATATTGAAAACGCATATCGTGTTAAATCGAAGAGCAAAATAATTGTGGAGTTCTCTTCGATGAGAAAGAAAAAAGAGATTATGAGAAACTTGAAGGGACACAGAGTAGATGAAAA